AGCTGCGCAAGCTCGTCGGCCACTCCGAAGAAGAGGACCAGCTCGCCCTCCTTATTTCTGCCATCGAGCGGATAAGGAACTTGCAGCAGCAACTCCAGGTTAGTCCTAGAAGAAACTCTAAAAGAGCCATTGTGAAAACACTATAAGCTAAAATTTACCGATCATTTTCAGACTGACAAGGAGAATGATATGCCCGACGCCCTCGCGGAGCTCATGGAAAGCGTCAGCACCGGCGAAAAGTAACCACGAGACTGAACTCTCCATCTTCCCAACACTTTCTGTGATCTCCTCGTCCCGCTTTTCAATTTGGCTTAGATTGTTCTCTCGCATTACGGGTATTTTGCGCAGATTTGTACACAATTGCTTCCAAGATTAGTGCTAGACGAAAATACACGAATTCTATGGTTGCTCGCCCTCAAATACAGGAAATCTTCTCTCGCCACCACGGAGCCGCAAATCCAAGAAGCATTATTATTGCTAGAAGCGAGTGCCATCTGCGAGCCCCTTGCCTGCCGCCACCTGACCATGCAGCTGCTCGTTTTGGGCTGGCTGAAAACAGATGGCATCACAACTGGCATACGGATCCCCCCAGTTGCGCACAATGGCAACCGATCGCCACAACCAACGACGTGAAGCATTGACCAAAATTTATTAAAAAGTCCAAATAGAATACGTGCATGTACAAAAATCAAGTCTACCGGTCAGACGATGTTAAATTCCTGCTTGATCTGCTCGGAAGTTTTGCCCCGCAGCTTGTTCGAGACGGTGCCACATCCCAGATGCACCAGTCCCGGAATTTGCAAATAGTTTGCGGCCTAGAACAAACTGATCGGTCAATCTCAAAATATCACCAGGAGAATTTCGAAGATAACGCCGTTGTCGACCTTGAAAAATTCGGCGTCCCAAGCCGGGATGGCGACCGGGCCCTTTTCCTTCGGCTTCTGATCTTCTTCAGTCTCCTCCTTCTTCGGGTCGTCTTTGTGCTTTGCGCACCAAATCAACACCTAAAAAAAGTTCAAGCAATTGGAATGTGAGCCGACCTTACGCATGATCGGCGCGGTAACGTTCGGGATCGGAATAACGCCGTCCTCACCAACGTCGGCGTCCTAAGTAAAAAATTGCAGAACTTTGCGCAAAAGTTACCGCCAGCAGCGTGGTGACGAGTCCGGATTGTCCGATGACCTTCTTGGGCACGGTGAAGATTTCACCATCGCTGGTCTCAAGCTTCAGCGACATTCTGGAAAAAAGGGAATTGAGTGAAAAGCGTTGAAACGAAGCTATTGACGCACGGGGAAATTTGAAAACCGTTGAGAAGACGAGGGTATTACGAATTGATCAACTGAAGATGAAAAAAAAATTCTAACATTCGGGCCGGAAAGGGATCATCTGCAAAAATTGGGAAGCATGACGTTTCGGCTGTACGATCCCGTTCCCGCCGCGATTCCGGCATTGCGTACACCGTCGTACTACCCTTCCAGAATTAAATTTTTTTTAAATAAGAAAAATAATTAAATTTTAGTGTGATCTCGAAAAAGCTTTTGTAAAAAATTATGGTTGTAATAAGAAGTTTGCCTTCTTGCAGGTCGGGAAGTTAGGCCGACATGTTAGGACGCTGTTCGCCTTTTCATTTCCGATCTGGCTAAATTTACCACTTGAACCCAGCAGACGTGCTTTTCGGCGATGTTTTTGATATAAATTCACATCAATCCCGCCCAGGAAACTGTTTGCCGAGGGGTTTAAACGTTTTTGAGAGAGGTTCTTCAAGGGTGGTGCTTTGAGGTTTACCTCGTAGATCTGCAGTAGAGTTTCTCGAACTGCTTGAACTTTTTGAAAGAGAATAGCTCCGTCTTTTCTATAAGGCACCCTTCGTTTTTCGTTTTTTTCTGAATCTGCGAAGATAATCGCATATCTTTCGCGTTTCGCCTGTTTTGCCCCAAATTCCAGCGGTTCAATGCCAAATTTTCCATCCGTCTCGGCGTTGGCGATCAACGGCTGCTGTGCCAAGGGCCCAAGGCAAAATAATTAAAAGGTAGCACATTTAACAGGTGCGGGCGATGGGCCTCCACCGGCGCTGACTATTTATGCGTTTGGTGCGCACCTGACGCGACAGCTGAGATTCGCTCGAAGCGCCAGAAGGGCCTGCAGGAGGGTTGGGGTTTGTTTCCGGCGGTGAGTTGGGGATTGGCGTTATTTCGTTCACTTTTTCGCATTAGGTGTAGGTGTTCTCATTGGTAATTTTTTCCAGATCGCTACGGTCCTTTCAAAGGCCGATTTTCCAGGTCGCATCTGTGCCGACGGCGGGCCACGGGGGTTATTGTGTCAGGTGCTTGAGCCGTGTCCAGGTGCCCGGCCGAGGGGCTGGCATATCCATCTGCTGTGACGGTCGGCGGTAGCGAGCCGTCGAAATTATCAAGGGACCGGGCCGACGGGCAAGGCGGACACCTGTGTCAATTCGTGGATTTGTCAACTAGGGGGGTGGCGTCGGAATTGCCTGACTTGTTTGGTTTTTGAGGCGTAGCCTTTGCGCGTAAGCGTATCGTTCTAAGAGATGCGTAAGATATATCGGACGTATCGTTCGAACGTTTGTTTTTGGCAGATTGCTCGAGTAAATTGTTGGAAGATGACATTTTGAAGGTTTGAAGAATGTGCAGAATTTTATGCTGATTCCGAATTAGCTTTCAGAAATTGCGGAATATCTAGCTTTGAGAAGTTTTAGCTTATTTTCTGACCAAGAAAGAGGTTAAATGGGTCTTTTTACCTCATAGGCCTCAAACGCTAGATTCCACTTTCCAATTTTTACGTACGCTATTTTGTTCAACTTTGATGTTATGGATTCTGACTATTGTAGAAATCCTCATAGACTTTAAAGCCCTGTAGCACAAAGAGGGCTCAGAGATACAAAAGCGGCCGCCGGCCACAATATTCTCTTAACCCTACAATTTTTTATAATACCTGATTTTCAAATCCTAGAGATATTTTAGCGACCCGATTGCCCATGACTCGTCAATAAAGCGCCCTTCCCATTACCCCTGCGCCCTAAATTGCGACATAAATTCCGCCCCGAGGTGCTCTCGTTATACAATCGGCTCGTCAAAAGGCGATCACACCTTGTCCGGGCCATAGATGGGCAGCAGTAGCAGCAGCCGGAGGGGGTCAGGTGCATAGATGGGGCCCTTGGATGCAGGTGAGCAGGGCCAACCAAGAGCATCTGTCCCCAGCCCCGCGGCCACACCCGGCCCGGCCGACGGTGGTTACATTCGAGATTGTTGGGAAATTAGGCAATTTGGGGGATGGGTGGTCCAAGGTGCAGCGTGTTTAAAAAAGGGAGTACGGAAGGCTCCACTGGACGCATGACCGTATGGTGTTTTTGATACCTTGGTTTAAAAAGCGGGTATTTTCAAACAATCAGTTAGTTAATCGCGGTGTGTCGACTTTCTAATGTTCTAGTTGTTTTGCTCCAGTGTTTCTAGGGTACTGGGCCGTTAACAGGGGGGGGAGGCAATTTTTCGCAAGGGGGAAAACATCTTTTTGCAGTTTCACGTTTTTATTGGTTTTTGATTCCTGAAAAGCTAGAAAAAAGGTGCAGGGAAAATTCGAAATAGCTAACTTTTTTTGCGGACATTTTTCATTACATTTTTGACCAAAAGTCGAATATTTTCGAAAATTTTTAAAATTTTCTTTTAGCGTTTCATATTTAAAAACTGTAAAGTTGTATAAAATGGTCTATATTTTGTAATGGGCCCGACGGAGTGGCCTGGAAAAGTTAGTTTTCCCCTTGACCAATGGCCGCGCAGCTATCTTCATCCATAGCAGCAAGTTTGGCTCGATTTTCAGCCCAACGGATCCTCGGTAACTGCAGAAAGTTGGACCGGGACCCCCGCGCCCTGCACCTGACGCCCGCACCTGGTTCAACATCGGTTGAGGTGTCGGCTCCCTTTCAGGCGCCATCCTCTCCTCCCGGCACTCCATATGTCCGAAACATTTGCCAGCCGCTGTCTACCGCATATGGCATCTCTACTCTTATGGCAACATGGCCCACGGCCTACAGATCAAATCACCACTTGGTGAGAGGATGATTCGCGATACTTGGAGAATTGAGATAAACCTATTGTTTAAACAACTGAAAGCCAGCGAAAATGCTTCCGGCGCACAGTTTTCGGGGGGTGTTGAGAAGCCAGGAGTAGTCGTCTAGTGCTATGGCTACAGTTTTTGAAGTTCGGCAGCGAATAGGGACATCCAACGCCTAGTTTTTTCGGGGACTGGACTGTTAGCGGGGGGGTTGGAGGGCGAACAAGAGGGAAACACAATTTTCCCCAGCTATTCCGTACGGCCCTATATCGACATTTTTATAACGTTTAGAACGCAGTTTTATCTATAAAACAAGCTGATCAAAAACTTAAAGAATTTTCACTTTTTGATTTTTGGCCATGAAAATGGTCAAATCTAAAATTTTCAAAATTTTGTGTTTGGTATTATTCTAGGAATCAAAAACTACTAAGAAACATTAAAAATACATTATTTTATTATCAACAGGCGGACATCAGCGCAACAACAAAATTAGTTTTCCCGGCTGCTACCCCCCCCTCGCCCCCGCTAAAAGTCCAGTACCCATTTCGCTATGGTTTCACGCTGGAGCTAGGATCTTTTAGGGTTTTTAGGATCAAACGTGTTCGCCTTTCCATTGCGTAATCGATGGCGAATCCCAATTTCCGACGCCTTCAAGGCGTTCAATGGCGGGTAGGATTTGCGTATCTTCAAGACCCATTGCACCTCTTGCATAATCATTTATTCGATCTGGGCACAGCGTAGATGACCATGCCTGCCGGCGGGTACAAATCGGCGAAACGAGTGCGTACAAATATGAAGAGACGAGAAGATAAGGAAACGGATGATACTGGTAGACAAAAGAAGGACAGAGAGGGTGGCGAAAGGCAGTTACAAGTAAAGGGGAGGGGCTTTTAATAGGATGGTAGTCAGGAGGTTCGAGTAGCTCGTGCTCATGATCCGACTCGCTTTGGCGTCTTCTTAAGCGGCTTCGGGGACGGGTCGAAGCCGATCTCCACCTCGGGCACTTTCTCGGTCAGCGACGCCTCGACGACGTGGGCTAAACGGATATGATTTTCGGAATTCAGACGATGAACTAACGGGCGTTGGGCACGGAGGCGGTGCGGATCATCGACGGCTCGGCGCAGGCGATCTTGAAAAATTCCTTGTTCGCCGCCATCACTTCTATGACGTCCTGAAAGTTGATGTTTAGACCGTTTTAGCGGCGGCTCGGTCAGCGAGCAGTTCAGAAAGTCAGGTGAATTTATTTCTACCGGTGGTAGTGGGGGATCAGCGCCAGCAGCCGGCTTCCACCCGGGCGGCAGGGGCAACACGGCCGGTGGCGTGTACTTCGACGTGACCACGCCGATCGTCGTCGGGGTGTACTAAAAATAATAAATTTTAACGCTGTCTCCTCAATGATCTCAGCTAGCTCTCCTCAATTATCTCTGCTAGTTGCCCCTTACCGTGCTTGCCGTCTCCTTGGACTTGACGACGACGATGGCTGAGGGCATCTGGGACTTGAGGGTGGTGTCGGACTTGGACGGTCCAGCCGGGTCGGGCGACTTGATCGACTTCATCTCGTTGGACTTCATCTCGCTGCACGGCGAGTTCGGGACGGGATACTGGAAAGTGTAAGCTCACGGAGTGTACGCCTCGGAGTCGGAGTCAGTAGGTGATCAAAAAAAGGGATTTCGATGTTTCCTACTATTACCTCCCCTTTAAACTTCTAAAAAAACCCGAAAACCGAAGAGCAGTAAAGTAATAATTTATTCTCACGCTGATGCTTCGAAGACAAAAAAGTAGCTTTTCTAAGGTGGGTGCACTTGTTGGGGTCCGGGGAGTAGATGAACAAAAAGAGATCGGTGGGCGGGGGTAATTTAGGCTTTTCGGGGTGGTTATCCTTGGGTGGTCTGGCGTACCTCCTTCTTGGCGCGCTCGAGCAGCAGCTTGACCTTCTTGTTCTTGTTGACGCCGTTGTGGATGAGGAGGCGGGCCGCGTCCTTTTCCGTCACGGCCTGGTCGTTCACTTTCACTGCAAAAAAAATTTGTGGTCATTAATGTAGGGATTTCGAGAGGCTGTTGGCCAAAAAGCAGAAAGTTTTGACGGGCGTGAGAGTCGAACCCTGGTCTTGCGGGTGAGAGGCGAGCACTTTACCAATGAGCGAAAGGTGCAAACGGGTCGCCGGTCAGCGGGACCCTGTTGAACCCACCGAGAATGTCGCCGGCCTCGACCTGCTTGGCCACCACCGACCCGTCCTCGATCATCGCCACCACCACGTGGCCCTCGGCATCCTGGGCGAGTATGGCATTTGGGTCAGTGAAAAAATCTTTACCTTTGTAACGAGCAGCCCGAGGATGCTGCCGCCCGAGTACCACACCAGCTCCATCTCGTGCAGCTCGAAGCCGGGCCGCCCACCGGGGACTTGCTGGAATGCTTCTTAGAACCGAACCCTAACTACTGCCCCACCTTTACCGTAACCTTGACGGCCTCGTCGCGCTCGTACTCGATGAGGACCTTGCCCGGCGAGTTGGCGCTGATCACCTGGTAGAACTCGGCCGTGTTGGTGATCACCTGGAAGATGGGGGGTGTTTAAAGGGACGGTGGAGGCATCGTAATCGTCCAGAAAATCCAAAAAGATACCTTCCCGTTCACATTCTTCAGGCAATCATTGACGAAGAGGTGGCCGAGGAATGCCGACGAGGGATACACTTTTGTCACCTAAAAGCTGACTCCCAAAGAATCTCTACTGGCTGTCCGCCTCACCAGCTAGCCGAGATCTCTGAGGAAACGCACCTTGGAGTCCTTGACATCGATGCCGACGGTGAATCCCTTATTGCCGAGCTTGAAATCGAGTACGGACAGCCTCTTCTCCGCCATCGCCAACGAGCCGTCGACGAGATCCGGAAATTCTGCTGGTCCAGAATGGATCAAGATGGAGATTATGCTTTTTATATTCCTAGATACAGGTAGATTATGGAAAATTTCCGGAATTCAAATTAAATTATGCATAAAAACCCTGATTGAAAGTTACATAGTCTTTCTCGCTCTCTCTCGCTCTCTCTCTCTCTCTCATTCTTTCGCAGGAAGCACCGGCTCTAGCAGCGATTTTTCAGGAATTTTTGGTTATCAAAAAGGGCAGCCGAGCAGCGATTTCTAGATTGCTAGATTTTCTCTCTCGCTCTCTTTCACTCTCTGTCGCCAAATTCACTTTCGAATCCCTTTAAAACCCGACTTGCAGCCGTTCGCCTCTCCCTTCAGAATGCATAATTGCCATATATGTGTTGGCCATCTGCTGTCGCTCTCTCTCTCTCGCTCTCTCTCTTTCTCGCTCTCTCTCTCTCTCCTCTGACCCCTAGATGGGCCCCCAGCTGTCCCATTCCTGGTCCCAACCCCCCTGGCACCACCCAGCCCCCGGTTTTTCCATCTACGGCAAAGGGTTGTAAGCCGGAAATGCTGGCGCCCTGTCCCTTTAATGTAATGCCTCTCTATGTCTGTCTTGCTCTTCATCTCTATTTGCCAATACAAGGGTCACATCCGGGTTGACCCATTGCCCTTCTTCGCAAATATTGGCAGAAGCTGACCCCGCCCTAACGGACCTGGCTTGGTTAGCTTGCTTTTGTTACCTTTTTGGCACTTAGGTAGCATGATTCCTCAAGGATCTCTGCACGCTTGCCTCGGGTCGCGCACTTCTAAATAATCTATGCTAGATTGGGTTCTTTAGGATTCGCGGGGGAAGTATTCCCGGGGGGAAACCAAATTTTTTTCGGCACAAGCCTAGATTTTTTTATAAATTGCGGATGCGTTTCTAAATTGTTTTTAACTATTCCTGAGCATAAAAACTACACACATTTTAACCAAAAAAATTTTAAAAAAATCAAAAGTAGGTCGAACAATCCTATAGAACCTTTAGGATTCGCGGGGGGGAAAGACCCAAAATGACCAAATTTTCGACTTTTTCAAACATTTTTCTAAATTTTTCTGAAAGTTATTCTGCTTTAAATATAATTAAAACTTACTAAAAACAATATGAAATCACTTTGTATTCGATTACTAGGTCAACCGGGACCACCAGGAAAAAAAATTGGTTTCCCCCCCGGGAATACCGATAATTCCTAAAGGATCTCGGCTAGCTGGCCCAGTAAAGCAAATTTCCTAAATGACATTCGCTAGCTTGCTCCGCCCTAACCGGCCCTGTCTTTCCTAAATAATCTCTGCCAGCTCGCCTCTCCAGCTGTTTCAAAAGTTCCATGACGCTCCTCCTGACACTCACCGGTCAGTGGGTGGCACGCGTAGTGGTGGCCCAGCACCGAGATCAAGCCGGGGGGTGGGATGGCCATTGTGGGAGGGGGCTTTTCCCCCTAGAAAAGGACGATCAACAGACCGTACCGGGTCCCACCACGCTCCAACTGGGTCCCATCACACTGTCAGCGCCTCTGCGCTTTTCATTCCGAGGCTTGGTCGTCGTTTTTGAGGCTACGTTAGAGTACGGTAATAGACCGATTTACCGCATATAATGGGAAAAAGTTATTAATCCACAGAAATGCCGACTTGCCGGGCCCTTAAAAAGCTCAATTCCTTGTTGAACTCTCGATTTCCGGCACAAAAAGTTAGTTTTCTATAGATTTGGCTTGCCGAACCGTTTAAAATACCATAAAATAGCATGGCTACCTTAGATTACGCTACTTTACACCGTATATTTCTCTATAATCAAAAATCTATGGACACTTTGACTTACCTGAGCCTTTAAAACTCTCAACTAGGTTATTTTTGGATTTTTTAGCCGGGCTTACGGTAGCATACGGTAGTGTGTTAGGCGCATTTTTGACCTTCCAGTTTCTTCAAAACCCTCTTTCTGGTTTCTTCTTGAATATGCAAATTTGTGAGTGGATGACAGCTGGTGGGGGACGGTCTGCCCCCTGCCGGGACGCCTGTCATTTTAGGGTTCGTTGCCTGGTGACCCTTGCCGAGCTCTGAACACCCTTTATTTCGCATTCTAGTCCTCAAAGGGTGTCTGCTAGCTTGCCACGCCTTTCCTAAATAATCCCTGCGAGTTGGTGTATGAATTTTCAAAGAATCGCTGCTAGATTGTCTTCAGTTTTTTTCAATTTTGCTATTTGTCGTCTAAATTTGCAACTAAAACCTCTACTGTTACCTCTGGCACTCAAAGAAATCCTGCTAGCCTGCCGCCCATCCGAATATTTGCTAGCCTGTTTGTTGCAAATTCTCAAAGAATCTATGCTAGCTTGCCTAAAATGGACGTTTGAATTCCTAGATAATCATTTCTGTTCCTTTTCATCCCGAATTTTCCATGCCTCGGAATTTTCAAAGAATCTCTGCTAGCCTGCTCTCCCCCAATTCCCCAAAAATCCCTGCAAGTCGACGTGTCAATCTCAACAGAACAGCCACCAATTGTCCAATTCCTCCAGAATCTCAGCTAGTTGACCTCCAAGGGTTCAGCGGCCTTTCCCTCGGGTCTAAAAACTGCGTGTGCATTGTTGCTGCTCGTAATCTTGCTGGAATACAATTGAATAGGCTGGCCTAGATATATTCGATTGGTATGCTATTTAGTGGCAGTGTTGGGAGGGGGGGAGTGGGTTGTTTCAGCTTCCTCTTGTCCTCCCTACTTACTATAGTCCGTCAATAGGATCGTCGCGTCCTACGGGGGTATCTACTATTTCTTGGGAATTCCTAAAAAATGCTGCTAGCCTGCCACAGTTTCTCCAAATCGTGTCTTCCTTCTTTTATTTTTAACTAGTCCTGAAGTGCCTTTGCCAGTTTGCCTGGCTTGGATGAATCCTTAATGGTCGCTGCTAGCCTGTCCTTCAAAAGCTGAGTTTCCCTAAGGGATTTCTGCTAGTTTGCCCTATTTTGCGCATGCTAGGCACTCGCCAATGGCCTCTGTTCGTTTGCCCCCAAAGTTCCAATTCCTCCCAAAGGATTTCTGCTAGTTTGCCTTATTTTCTCAGTCTTAAATGATCTCCGCTCTCTCTCTCTCGCTCTCTTTCTCTCCCTCCCTCGCTCGCTCTCTCTCCCTCTCACTCTCCATAAAAATCCCAAATATAGGCTAGTTTTCGATTTTAAGTGCTTTGCTCTTTGCTAGCCTGCGCTCAAAGCCGTGCAATTTCCCAAATGGTCCCTGCTAAGCCGCCTTTACAGATATTTAAAAAATTCCATAACGCTCCTCCTGACACTCGCCGGGGCCAGGCGAAGCGTCACGGAAAGGGAAATATCGGGAAGTGGGTTGTTTCAGCTTTTCCTTGTCCCCTCTACTTACTATAGCCCCCGGTCTGTCAACAGGATCGTCGCGTACTTCCCCCCGATACTACAAGCCCCAGAGGGGTGCATAAAAAATGAATAGAGCTGCCGACGGGGGGAGAGTGTGCATAGGCATGGGGTGGAATGGAGGTAGCCAGTCTCTACCCCCCCCCTTCCATTCCACATCCCTAAATCGCGTTAGGATTTTTTGGGAACGCTCTTTTTCCGGGGTGGGCCACTGGCTGACCTTCAGCCCAAGTGGGGGTTCAAGTGTTGCACGCCAATTTCGATCGGTCCACGTTTTTCGGGTGATTTTTGGGTACTTCCGAGAAAATCCGCAAGAATCTAGGCCAGCTGGCGGGTTGATTATTGGTGTTTCGATATCTGGAAATATTTCTCAATCTAGCTCTGACTGTTTGTCTGTCCATCTGTCTGTATCTCTCACACTCTCGCTCTCTCTTGCTCCCATCGCTCTCGCTCTCTTTCACTCGCTTTCAATCAGTTCCGCTCACTCTTTCACTGAATCTCTCACTCTCTCGCTCCGCTCTCTCTCTTTCTCTTTCTCTCTCTTTCTCTCTCTCTATCTCTCTCTCTCTCTCTCACGCTCACTCACACTCTTCCTTCGAAACAGCCTAGCATAGATTCTTATGGAATCCACCCGGAATTCCTCAATGGTCATTGCTAGCCTGCCCTGGCAGGAGGGATTTTTCAGACACGCAGGCTAGCAGCTTTTTTTATCGGAATTTTAGGCCATTAGTGTGTAAATTCGCGTCTAGATTTTGGCATCCTAGCAGAGGCCATTTGCGGAAAAGGTGTGCCATCTGCTGTCCCTCCCCCTTATTCGGGACACCCGCTGTGGCTCAACCCCCTGCTGCCGTTTCCATTTCCGCCACTCTCACTTTCAGCCTTTGTATTTTTGGGGCGCGGCGACCTCACTGTCTGTTATGTCAACCCGATGAGTTATGCGGGCTAGCTGTGATTTTTGAGGAATTTTTGAGTTTTACGGGGCAGACTGGCAGCGATTTTTGGGGAATTTTGTGTTTTGCATGGCAGGCTGGCAGCGATTTTTGAGGAATCTTCATTTTTAGAGAGCAAGTAAATTTATGCGTAACTTTGGCATTTCAGGGGCAGGTTGGCAGAGTTTCTTGGGGAATTTTGGACTTACAGGAGCAGGCTAGCAAAGATTCTGCAGGAATTTTCGTTTTTAAAGGGCAGGCTAGCAGGGATTCTTGAGGAATTTTGGATTCAGAGGAGCTGCATAGCAGGGATTTTTGAGGCATTTTACTTTCAGGGAGTTTTTGAAACAGAAATATTAAGGCAGGCGAGCAGAGATTCTCCATGAAATTGACAACGCTAGGGCAAATAGCAGTGATTTTTTCAGTAATTTCCTTTTACTTGGCATACTAGCAAGAAACTTGCGGAAACCCGGAACCAAACCGCCACGCTGCTGCCTATCAAAATATTTCCCCCAGCCACAAGATCGTTTTCCCCCGGAGGGGAAAAGAAAAGAAGAACACGCGCCTGCAAACGGGCGGATTTGCCGGTATTGGCGGGTCCTGTTGAACGTGGGAAAGTGAAGGGGGAGGAAGGGAAAGGGAACGGTTCTCTCTCTCGCTCTCTCGCTCTCTCTCTCTCTTTCTCTCTCACCCTGCTACCAGTTGTTGTTTCTAAGTGTCCCCCCTCCCGCCCTCTTTTGCTGGATCATCGTCTTTTTCCCGGGTAATACTCTACTATCGACTTGGGTAGGCTAGCAAAGATTATTTGAGGAAATGGAGTGGGTCCGGAAGTTTCTCTAGTTTCCTTTGTTTGTAGTTTCTCTCTCTCTCTCTCTCTCTCCCTCTCTCTCTCTCTCTCTATCGCTCTCTCGCTTTCTCTCCTGTCACCACCCCTTTAAAACTCATTGCAATCCTAATCGGTCCCTGCCGTGTTCTTTACTATTTTTGTTCGCCCCCATTTTGGATTGACTGTCCAGAGTATCGTTGTGTTTCTGGTGGTTCCACCCATTTCGCTGTTTAATCCGATCGAGCCCCCCTTTCCATCGACAACGAGACCGTTGCGGGCGCGCCCCGCGGATAAAAAAAATGGGCAGTAGGGTGTATCGTAGCCGGGCTATCGGAAAGCCGCCATTAATGCTTGTGGTTAGCTTAAAAACGTTTACATGCAATTTTCACGTCCTCACCGATTACGCCATTAAAATATCTGGCTTCAAATTTCGTTTCGTAACTGATTACGATATTGTAAGCGCGTATCCATGGTATTTTCACGTCGTAATAGATTATGCCATGAAAATAGTTCGTTAATCGAGTACGCTTTTAAAATATCGTAGCCAGCACAGTTTTCATGCCTTAATCGATTGGATCATGTAGACAGACATACTACGTTTTAAGATCGGGATAAATTACGATATAAACAAGCTTTTCCACGATATTTTCATACCGTAATCGATTACGCCATAAAATATATTTCCTTCTGCCTAGCCAATCCCTTTAATCATCCACGCCCCCCGTTCGAGCCATCCACCCCCCAATATCGACTACACCCTGCGTGTTTTTTAGTTCTTTTTTTTTGCGTATAGGGCGGCGCAACCGGTATCCGTTTCTGTGTCTCCCCTCTCTCCGCTCTTCGAAAAAGAGGCATCAACCATTGAGTGGCTACTGACTGGGGGTAGAGGGGGTGATGTTGTGTTTTTCGATTAGCACACTGCACAGCCAGATCGCGCGCAAAATCGAGAGGAGGGCCCCACGACAAATTGCGGGGGTGTCGATATTTTGGACGGTGATAAACAGACTGATTTGGGTATGATTTTGGAATGACTGTTTCTCTCTCACTCTCTCTATCTCGCTCTCTCGCTCGGTCTCTCTCACTCTCGCTCGATCTGGCTCTCTCACGTTCGCTCGGTCTCTCTCCCTCTCTCTCTCCCCCTCTCTCTCTCTCTATCTCTCTCTCTCTCTCCCTCCCCTCTCTCTCTCTCTCTCCCTCCCTCTCTCTCTCTCGCTCGCCCCCCAAGATCCTCCGCTAGCCAACCCGACCCAGGCGACGTTCCGTAGCCCGTCCAAATTGCGGAACCAACGTGGATAGGTGTGTGACGGAGTGTAGCCCCCTGCTATTGAAGAGCTTTTAGATAACGGGAGGGAAAAGGTCCAAAGTGCCATCCCCTATTATGGAGGGTCATTTTGGGGGATGGAAGCTTGGGTGCTGTCAACAATATCACAGCGGAACCGGGCTGCTTTTGCACGTTTTCGGGTTCTACAACGGTTTTAAAGGGGCTAGGAAGGCTCGAGAATATGTGGATTGTAATGTGGTGGAATTTTGAGGAGGTTTTTGCCAATTTTGGACCCCGCTAAACGCTCGTGCTCCATTTTAAAGTGACCGGGAGCTCGAAGTTTTTCCGAGAGTTAGCCGTGACCGCTTGGGAGAGCTAGCAGAGACGATTGAGGGGAGCAAACAGAGATTTCTTTTCGGAAAGTTAGCCGAGACCCTTAGCTCGAACTCAACCCCTTCACAATTCCCCCAAAAGCCGCTGACCCCCAGGTCTTCTCGCCAGAATCGATATATTCTCTGTTTCACACCCTCCACCCCCTCTGCCAAGCCACCATCCAGCCGTTCTGAATTCTATTAAGCGCCTCGGGGATGGGGGGCGGCCCCCAGCCTGGCACCAATATTTTCTTGACCGCCAAAATATGCAGAATTTTTGGACCATCGTCGCTTTTGGTGGAGGTCTTCTCCTCATGGTCTCTGACAACGGCCCGTTCTCTCTCTCTCTCTCTCTCTCTCTCTCTCTCTCTCTCCTCTCTCTCTCTCTCTCTCTCTCTCTCCCTCTCTCTCTCTCTCTCTCTCTCTCTCTCTCTCTCTTCTCTCTCTCTCTCTCTCTCTCTCTCTCTCTCTCTCTCTCTCTCTCTCTCTCTCTCTCTCTCTCTCTCTCTCTCTCTCTCTCTCTCTCTCTCTCTCTCTTTCTCTCTCTCTCTCTCTCTCTCTCTCTCTCTCTCTCTCTCTCTCTCTCTCTCTCTCTTTCTCTCTTTCTCTCTTCTCTCTTCTCTTTCTCTCTCTCTCTCTCTCTCTCTCTCTCTCTCTCTCTCTCTCTCTCTCTCTCTCTCTCTCTCTCTCTCTCTCTCTCTCTCTCTCTCTCTCTCTCTCTCTCTCTCTCTCTCTCTCTCTCTCTCTCTCTCCCTCTCTCTCTCCTCTCTCTCTCTCTCTCTCTCTCTCTCTCTCTCTCTCTCTCTCTCTCTCTTCCCTCCTCCTCTCCGTCTCTCTCCCTCTCAATCCGAACCTTCCGCTATACTCCACTGTACCCTCCTGCCTCCTCCCTGTTTTCGCGACAATGTGCCAACAAATCTGAGCGCCACTAACTGGGCCATGTGACCGGTACAGCTGATATCTCAGCCAAACGGTCGTCAGAATCACGATAAGCCTGGGTCGGGATTCCGTGGAGGGCAGTGTACGCACGGCAACTCTTTGCACTTTGGGCCCGTGACCAAAATTAGGGATGGAGGGGGTGCAGTTAATTTTCGAGATTTTCCCCATTTTTTACAATTTTTTGGCTATTCTGTAGCTTGTAGTCTCGAGAAAAACGTCGTAATAAATTTTATCAAATATAGCCTTGTTTTAAACACTAAACTAATACTGTAATTCTATACCTAATTCAACCTTTTATTAGGTTCTAGCCTGCAGCAAACGCTAAATCCTACGAAAATCAATTTCAATCCCCTTCTGTATCTCTTGCTATCTCTCTCTATCTCGCTCGCTCTCTAGCCCTCTCTCGCTCCCTCTCCCTGCCTCTATCTCCATCTCTCTTTCTCTCTCTCCCGCTCATGCTCTCTTATGTTTTCTGTCTCTCTATCTCGCTCTTGCTGTCTCTCTCTCTATCCGTCTCCCTCTACTCTCGCACCCAAGATTCAGCCTGCTGGCACGCTGCCTTTAAACGCATCAAATCGGTCGTCACTTCACCACATTTTCCCAAACCAATTCCGCATAGCCCCTAAATTCCGCGAGGCTACTCTATCACAGTATGATCACTCGTGTTCTCCGCACGGCAAACATTGCCTTTCCACTCCCAACAAAAACTCGCAGGGGCACGTGAATCAGGTGGTGGCCGTTCATTTTTTTCTGTTTTCGTGTGGTGATTGCCTGAAACCGGCAGGAGTAACCAACCCACGCAGCAGCTGACCCCCGTGGAAACAGGGATATCGATATGTGTGATTAGGGGCCGATTTTGAAAAGGTCGTTTTAACGTTGTAAAAGTTGCGCTGAAGCTTTTGGAATATTTGCGGGTTTTCCTGGTACTTTTAGTGTATGTCTTTCTCGCTCTCTCTCTCTTTCGCTCTCTATCTCACTCTCTCGCTCTTCCTCTATCTCCTTATTGAACTTCTTGCAGACGCCGCCATGAACGAGCCGAGCATCTCGGGCGTCTCCCAACATCAGAATTATAGATTGCTGAGTGCACAGGTACGGTATCGGAGCGAGAGAGAGAGAAAGAGAGAGAGAGAGAGAGAGAGAGAGAGAGAGAGAGAGTGGGTGGGTGAGGAACCATTTCCGCATTTTCCAGGGTGATGTCCCCCTCCTTCCCCCTGGCAGTCAAGCAGAAGTGCCCCATTTTCTTCTGGACGAAGATTGGCATTGGGTGGATGACAAGGTATTCCCTATCCCTTGCCCCTCACCTACCGTATATTCCAGCGTAACGGCGAGGTCGAGGTGTCTCGCGACCAGGTCGTCTTCCACCCCACTTATGCCTACGGTACCTCCGGCGTTCGGGGCAACAAAAAGTTGATAAGGTGTGGTCGTTTTTGAAGGCTTAAAGGCCCCGAAGAGCTTTAGAATTCAGTCACGGGTTTCATATGCTAATTTCTAGGGGATGCGTGGCATACTGGGAGATTATCGTCGCCGGGAAGTTGTACGGCACCTCCGTCATGTTCGGCATCGGTACTTCGAAGGTTAAGGTGATTTTTAGGCATTTAATGGCTCAATTTTCTGTTGAAAAATTCTGCCGTAACCTCTCGTAGCCTACCGTAATCTACCGTAACCTACCGTAATACGCGTTTTCAGACAAAACTAGAATGGATGTTTGCGGATCTGCTAGGATCAGACACCGAGTCGTACGGACTCAACCACCAAGCCATTGCCCAGCATAATGGCCTGATGGTCAGGGCGGCCAGGACACCCATGGTAGGCTTTTGGTGCTAAGAATCTCTGCTAGCACGCCCAAGTCAATTCTAAACTTCTAGCCAAAAAGCAAAAAGTTTTGCCTCAGACGGGATCGAACCCTGATGATGCGGGTGAGAGGCTAGAGCGTAACCATTCAGCTATGGATAAAAATCGCCAAAATTCCCAAATTATCTTTGCTATCCCACCACCAGTTCCACGTTTCAGCCGGAGGACAATTGCGTAGTCGGTATGCTATTCGACGGCCGTGACGGGACCCTCTCGTACTTTGTGAACGGACAATTCCTGTGTACACCATTTACCTGTATCGACATGACGAAGGAGTACTATCCAATGATCTCTAGGTAAGCATAGATCTCTGGCTTGCGGTAGATTGAGCACGTTTTAGCACCGCGCAGCAATCGAGGTTTATCGTCCAGGCCCAAAAATCGTTGTATCCGATCGACACGCTGGAGGTGATGGCGACAAAGAGGGTGGGTGAGGCTGAAAATTCTTAAGATTAGTCTAACAAAAATTATCTAAATTTTAAAGGAACCGTTTAAGCTGACCAAAATAATTGTCAACCCCAAATGACCCCTTCAGGTCTCCCACCTCCTCCTCGACGACTCGGCCGACAATCTACCCCTTCCCACCGCCCAGAAAAATGCCGTCGACGCCGCGAAGCAACGCCGTGATGAATTGTGAGTGGCTTTGGCAAAAAGCAAACAGGTTTGCCGTGGCCGGGGGTCGAACTCGGGTCGTGTGGGTATCAAGCCAGCGCACTACCAGTCGGCTATAGGTCGTCAAAACAATTTTCGACCAGATAGTCGTCATCTCCGAATGTCGAAATTAGAATAGCGACATTTTTTTGAAATACCGACATGTCGAAAATAAAAATGTCGTCGTTTCAGCTTGTCGAAATTTTAATATGTCGACAGTTTCGACAGTGAATTTCGATTTTACAAATTTCGACAATTTGAAATATCGACAGTTTGAAACGTCGGCATTTTGAAATTTATAAGCGTAAGCGTTTTTCATTAAAAAAAACCAGTTTATCCCCACCATTTCCAGGCGCGTCCAGGGCCAACATCTGGCCCAGTGGACGGCGCATCGTCTCGTACTCCCCGACGACGTCTTCAGGACTGTGCTGGAAAAAGTTAGACTAGCCGCGCAGGCACAGCAACAGCCGCGTCTCTACAATCACGTCAATTGTCGATAGTGTATTTGAATTTTGTGGTGTAGTTTGTAGTTTCCCGCGTGCTTCTCGCCTTAAAAAGGCAACATTCAGCTTTTTCGGTTTTAAAGGGCCTGGCAAGGTAGTGCTATGATTTGACAGTGCGCGCGACACGTTATACGAGAGCTCGTTTGACCGATTACGCAATGGAAAGGCACGCCGGCGTGTGCGTTGCGTGTCGTGGCCGCGAAAAAATGGAAAAAATCCATATCTATGCCTTGCCCGCCCCTTTAAAAAATTATTCCAATTTCCAGCATTTTTGTATATTCGCGTCTTTCCGCCCGCCAAATATTTAAAAATCCCTTGTCCACCTATCCATGATGAAATGTATTTATTCGTATTCTTTTTTTGTACTTACTTTATTATATCCATTAGAATAAGCCCTTTCTCCCCCTTTTTTTTGCTGTTTAATTTTTAGTTTTTATTTTTCCTCCTTTCCAGTCATAAAATGTGCTATAGCCTTCTTTTTTACCGTATTGTTTTGTCGACCATATATTTCCTATTTTTCCCTTCTTTCCTTATCAATCCCCCCCCCTAGTCGGAAGCAGCTTTTTGTGCCAAAAATTAAGTTTTTTTCGGGAAAGCTTGCAACGAAAAGAAAGACAGAAAATTCACAGCACCACCAAAAAAATCTATAAAATATACGGCAAAAAGCCTGGATTTTGACAACGAAGGGAAAGAGAAAGCACTAAAATGCTATTGCCATTTTTGCTGCTCGGATTGGCAGGATTGTTGAAGTGTCAAGATGTCCAGGTGGGGATACGGTGGCGGGGCATGGTTTAAAATGTCAAAAACCACATTGCCGAGATGGCAATTCTAAAATCCGCGTATTGTCGTAATTTTACTACGTCGAAAATCATAATACCGACAGAGGGCTCTTTCGCATTATCGGGGGGGTAGCGATCTTTTCTAAGGATTCATTCTTTCAAATATAAATAGCGGATGTGTTTCTAAAATGTTTTTTCTATTACTTAACTTAAAAAGCTCTAAAAATTTGTTAAAAAAACAAACAAAAATTATTGATTTTCGTCCAAACATGGCCGCTTTTGTCCAAAATTTCGATTTTTTTTTTCGATTTTCGGTCGGGATTTCTTCGATAACTTTAAAATTTAGTGAGACTAAATTTCGCTTATAATTTTCGCCAAATAGGACCAAGCCTGCCAAGTAGATGCTGACTGCACTGCCCCGTTCGCGCGATGTGTTGAGATCGACACGGCAAACCGGACGGCCATGATGTGTGTTAGTAAAACCGAGGTTCGAAATTTACCTAAAATTTTAGTTTTTTAATAAATTTATGACATTTAAATTGTGTTTTTAACTAAAAGTTTTGATAACTTAAAACTTAACACTTCTGCTTGAACCTAAAAGCATTCAAATTTTACAGTAAAAATTACCGTTAAAATGTAGAAGACTTGAGGCTTAAATTAATATAATATAATAAACCTTATTTACTCTAATTTAGCGGTAATTAAATATGTATATTACCCTAAGAGTTTTAGACGTGGTTCTACCCGGCGCCGTTTTGCCCGGAAAACCGGTGCGCCGACGGGCTGAGCTGCTACCCGTTGGTCGGCTCGGACAAAAAATTGTGCGGGTCTACGCAAAATTACAAAGTACGGTAGCAAGGTTACGGTAATCTATCCGTGGTTTAGAAAGTCAGAGCGGTCTACCATCCGTGTAAGTTGGCGGGCGACTGCGGGGCCGGGTTCACGTGTGCTCGGCTGCTTGGCACGCAAGTTATGGGCTGTGCGCCGATGGGCAGGGTCGGTTTTCGAAGTTTTTTACGCCATAATACCCAAAGAATATTTGCTAGCATATTTAGCAAAAAAAAAGCTAAAGTATCTAAAAAAACACACCTTTCGAAAATTCTAACAGTGAATAGAGTTTGTAGGGCCACAGCCACTTTTAAGTTCAGTTCAGAAAAAGCTAATATGTGATTCGGGGCTTTTCCATTATCGGGGGACCAACCTGTAGTATTTCTAAACGTAAACCTTTACAAATTGTCGTTTAAAAATACGAAAAAATATCGATTTTCGACAAAAAAAGCCGCTTGCGACCAAAAATTTCAAAATTTACTCGTTTTTTAGATGGTTCTCGTTTGAAATATACCAGAATTTTACTCAAAAAACACACTATTAAAACCCTTGATATTACTAAGCATTTCCGGATTATCAAAATGCCCACACCCCCGATAATGCAAAAGATCCGCAGTGAAACTTTAGGCCCAAAAATTGCATTGTTTAAAATTTCAAGAATTTTGGTCAAGGTTTTTATAAAGCTTTTCCCTTAAAAACCAACCATATTTTTCTAAAAACAATGTAAAACCACCTCTTATTTCTAGAGTTTACAATATCGCATATTATTGCAAATACTAAACATCCAAAAACCTAAAAAAATCTAGAAATCGATCGCCTTTTTCAACTGCCCAACTTGCCGCGACAAACCGATGAACGAGCCGGAATAATCCAAATAGAAAGCATCGATAAACCCAAATAAACGGGGGGCTGTACGATTTATACGGAATTGACGGCATGCGAAGTGGTCGTAGCATGACGTAGGGGGTCATTTCTGGGGTTCGCTGTAGCCACAAATATGGGTGTTGATGCCCGACTGGAAACTCTGCAGCGCCTTCGTGCCACTGCCGAAACCGTTCATGATGATGTCCTGGGAAAATTGGGAAAATTGAGAAAAACGAAAAATATCGATTTTTTTTTTGACCAAATTGAAGATGTTTTAACATTTTCGAAGTATTTCAAATATTTTTTAATTAATATTTTAATTTAAAGCCTACCTTCAACTTGTTTCCCATATAAACGGCCTGCTGATTCGGATTCCACCTATTCCCTTCGGGGCAATCTTAAAAAACATACTTTCTTTGGGAAAAAATCTTTACCGCTCGAGTTTGTCACCGAGCCGGCCGTGGTCGCTGAAAAGATTCATTATTTCTTTTTTACATGTAATGCATGACTATTTTTATTAGTACGCTAGTGTTTAAATTACATTACGTTTCGTCTATAATAGGCTATAAATTGAAAACCTACTAGTCGGTATCTTGTCCGGATCGTAGGGGAAATTGCACATCTGACCGGCGCATACACATTTTTGCTGCTGGTTTTTCGTCATTAGGCATCGGACCTAGAAAATATCATAACTGGCATTAAATGGATTAAATAACGTAATAAACTATCGATGAAAAAAGAAAGAAAAAAGCTCACGTCTGCACTACCCTCCCACGATGTGGCGCACAGCGAGTAGGGGTATTGGCCGGTCACTAGAAGGGTTTTAAAACGTCCATCGATCCCAGAAACACGTTGTTTCCCTAAAATCCACCTGTCATACAGTAGCCGCCATCGCAAAGGTGGTTCTGATCGCAGGCAAGTGTGATGACCGTTCCATTGACTTGGACCTGTCCACATTCAAAGCACGGAACCGCATCGTCGGATGGTAAAACGGGGGGTGATCGTTTTTCTAAAAGCTTCCTTTTCTTTTGTTTTATTATCAACTTTCGAATGAATTTCGGCATTACGATAGCAAATCCGTTTGAAAACTACTTTACGGTAGCGATCCGTATTCCTAATACTAAATCAATGAAAATTACTCACCCAGGGGCATTGTCGGCCCAAAATGTCGACAAGTAGACGAGCGTCGGCTGCAGCTTGTTGCAGAAATCGCCAGAACAGGTACAACTCGTTGTTGGCGAGTCGTAGGCGCACGTCTTGAAAGACACCCAGTCAATAACAACCTTTAACGTACCACATTGGTAGAATCAGCTGAAAGGGTTCCGCATCCAGCCTGCCAAGTCCCCGAATCGTCGACATCTAAAGAAAACTGATATAAGGCGATGATAACCTACCAAAATAACATGAAGGGCCGGCGCACAAATTGCCGAGGCTGCAGTACTGGCCGCTGGTGGAGCTTTGCCCGTCACACACGTAGCACACGGCAGCGTTGGTCGAGGGAATGATGCAAGCCATCCATACAACCAGTGGCCATAGCCGGGAGCCTCGCCAGTGGCCCCACATCACCTAAAATGAGGTTAAACACGAGCAGGATGAGGAGGAGAAGATGAGCAAGGTTCTGACCATGCTATATAAGAAGAAGGAGAAAAAGGTACTTTTGCATTAACGGGGGGGTACTATAAGTAGAAATTCTTAAGAACATTCGCAATGTTTTTCCTAAATTCTAAGCCAAAGCGTAAATTTTCGTCAAAAATCTGCCATTTTAAGTCGAAATATTATATTTTTGTATGGTTAATAAAATTTTCGGAAAAAGGAATTTCGGAATAATAAAAAAACAACGCAAAAACCTTCTACCCAGCTTCTCAAAGTTTTCTGAGACCCTGAATTGATCTCTAACCCTGAGAAAACCAAACCAGGAAGTAAAAAACAAGTCAATCCAACAATATACTGAAGCCTAACGATGGCGCGGGGCCACCGGGATCGATATCCAAGCTATGAAGGCGAGTATGAGCATGAGCATGTGAGTGAGTCGACTAATTGGACAAAACGGTAGGCACCCCGCGCACCGAAGGATCAGCCCCGGCCGGGCCGTGGTCACTACGTGCGCCCAACAGTCCATCAAATGCCGTAAAATTTTTCGAGCCGTCCGCCTGGCCAACAAACACAACAATCGTGAACTCTCTACCGGAAGCTAGTCACCAAATCGCGGAATCAAACCACGAGTGCTCGCGAGCATTTTGAGTTTTTGACTGGAGATTTCTTATCAAAAGCCGTTTTACCTTTTATACAACAATTTTTTTTCTACGATTTAAAATCTCGCGCATACACATCATCACCACATTCAAGCGGGTCATTTATTGATCGCACAATGTTAACGAATAAATATGGCATTTTCGAGGGTGAAGCTAGTCCTGGGCGGTCGTCCCATCGGTGGGCCCCATTGGCTTTGCCTCCTGCTTCGGCCACGCCTGGAATAGAAATGATGACGATAATAATGAGACTAAAAAATATGATCAAAATATCACGAAAAATCTGACTTCCTGCGACGTCTCGAGCTGCAGCTCCTTGATCTTGGCCATGGCCAGCCGAACGGCCTTGGCCGTCGGTTTATAGACCTACAACGGAAATTTTTGAGTTGAAGCTCGGCCGGCTCGCCTGAAAAGAGCACTGCATCGTGTCGGCGATCTCCATCGTGGCCGCGTTGTTGTCAAACTGGCCGCAGTACTGCGGGGCTGAGAAGACGGTCACTAGCCTGGAAAGGAGCAGCGCGTAGCGGCTTTTCAACCCTGGTTTGACTCTAATATTAGTAGAATCGTTCTTTATTTTTATTCACGCTGTGTTGTCCCACTTGCGGTCGGCGAAGAATTCGTAGCCGTCCTGGACGACCTGATGAGCCCGAGCGATCAGGTCAATGTCCAACCTAAAAATCGGTCAGTTAAATAATCCAAAACAACCTCTTGCAGAACTCGTCGACGACGTCTTCTCCAAAAACGGCGGACACTCCGCGCGAGTTGGCCTTGAAGCCCTGGATTCCCTTCTCAGGGTCAGCCCACAGCAGATCGATTTCGATGGACTTCGATTTCGATTTCGTGACAACCCGGCCGGCATCACGGGGCGACGGAGGGCCCTAGCCGGAAATCAGGTAATGAGATATAAAACTTACCTCAACGTATCCAAGCTGTCAATATCACGCGATAGACCCCCATGCATGCACAGCACCCGCCCTCCGACAATGCCCACAATCGGCATCATGTTGAACACGTCCTAAAAAGTATTAAAACTAGAGTGTATCTTCCCACCTGAAAATACTGCCAAAGGCGCATGCTCTTGTAACGGCGATTGCACTCCTCGAGGAAGCCGTACACCTTGTTCACATTCAGGCATTCGTGATTGCCACGCAAAAGGAAAAAGTGCTCGGGGTAGAGGATCTACGAATAATGGGTAATGGATACATGAGAATGTAGATACCTTGTAGCAGAACAAAAGCGAGATGACTTCGAGATTCTTGCTGCCCCGATCCACATAATCTCCCAGGAACATGTAGTTCTTATCGGGCGGGAATCCGGATCCATTGAAGATGCGCAGCAGGTCGCCGTACTGGAAAAGAAACAATAACAAACTACAAGTTCTATAATTGGTAATAATAAAAAATCGCAAACCTAGCAATTACCTGGCCATGAATATCTCCAACAATTATCACGGGAGGGTCAATTTCAATGAGCGACGGCTGGTTCTTGAACACCTCCTTGGCCTCTTTGCACATCTTCAGCAGCTCGGGCTCTTTGATCTAAATAAGGAAACCCTAAAAATCTTCAAAAACCTTACCGCTGTGGTCATGCGTCCATTGGCCTGACCGACCTTGAGCAGTCGCATCATCAAATCATGAATCTCGGGGTTCGGCTTTGCCACGACCTAAAAAATACTTTATTGTCATTTTATACATCATAATAATAATTATAAGTTTATTGATCTTCCCTGACCGGTGTAAATGTCTTGTAGTGGAGCGGAATGAAAAGCGACTGCGAGCGCACGCATCTCGCATCCACCGTCTTCGACTGCGGTGCCTTTGAGGGGGAGGCCGGCATTTTGGATATGAGTGCGTTGAAACGGGGAAAAGAAGAAAGAATAGAAATAGAACACTGAAAACTGCGGAAGACAGAGGGACTAGAGAAATGATCTGGGAATCAGCGACCCGCCTTTTACATCAGCGGCTGGATGTAAATTTTTTGAAAGACTAGATTAGTTAAATTTCGAAAAATGTAGAATAACTTTACGCCTTCTTACTTTAAACTTTACTGTGAAAAACAAACATAAAAACGAACTTTCTATGTCATCTCATGACCGCGAGAACCGGTTTTAAAAAACTAAAAAATAAAAAAATAAAACTTCCTTCCGGGCTTCGTCCAGATCGAAGAGTTACTGTATGTTTAGAAGCCCCGGATTTTTGATAAACTTACAAGGCCTAAATGAACTTTAATTGAAACGACTTGTTGTAGCTCATTTTACCTCTTTCAAATAGAAGACTGCATGGATTTCTACCTGAAAAAAAAAGATCAAACTAACCACGATGCTTCATCCAAGTCGAGGAACTTCAGCTTTTTTCGGACTACTCTGTTTCGCGCAGTTTATCAAGCTCAAATCACAGTTTACCAAATTAAACGGTCTTCCAGACCTCTCACGCACTTTTAGCCCATTTCAAAGCACCGATTTTGACCAGTCCCCGTCATCCCCCGGAGGCGCGTCGGGGAGTTCGAGGGCTCGTGACTCAGCCTCCGACCCTCGAAACGGGGCGATCGAGGTCAACTGACCAGTTTCCGTATGCAAGCCCGCGGCCCCCAAGCAACACACATGGTAACCAACGAGTTATCGTCAATTTTTGCCTTTATCTAAATAGCTGTTGGGCAAAGATGTAAATGCTTTTCCTCCGGTTTTCCGCTTCTTGTTTCAGCGTATCTGATTCTCGTTATATTATAATTCTGGGTTCTGGTCCGTCAGCGGGGAGTTTTTTTATTGAGCCGAGCTCTCATAGAAATAAAAATGAACTATTATTATTAGCGTTTTGAAGATATCCGTATTAAAAAAATTTTGGCCGATTTTTCTTACATTTTAGACAAAAAAGTAAATTTCAGAATATTAGAACAAAGTTCTATGGGCTTTTTCGGTATAAAAGAAGGTAAAGACGCATTAAAAGTTTATATTTCACTATAGTGTACCTACGACAACGTTGAAAAAATTTGCTCACCCGGCAACGAACCAGAACCAGAACTAGAAGCCGGAAGAGCTCGAGCTCACGGTGTCGCTCTTCTATGCTATCTGGCTCTCATCTAAATCGCTAGCCCATTTAAATTTATACCCACTTTTATAGACCAAGCACCCCGGAAATGCCTTTTCTCACCGTTGTCGCTTTTATGTAAACGGTAAGAATACGAGGCTCAAAACGGCCGTTTTCCCGAATGCGAGTCCACAAAATTCAAGGCGCGCCTCTTTTCACCGCGCTCAAAACGCGAGATATAACGGGACGCGCGGGGTGGGATGCTGACCGTTCCGGCCTATACATACGCATTCTTCGCCGCAGCGCCAGCCGGGGGGTTCCGTGGCAAGGTGGTCGTTTTGACTCATAAATGAGGGAGGACACAATGGCCCGTGCAAACATGCCACCAGCAAGGCTGTGCCTAGGCCCAATCGGGCACACACCGCCACTCCACCGGCTGGTTCCGGTTTCTCGGACAGTTTCATAGGTTGTTGCTGGTATTTAGTGCTTTTCTAGGCTTCATCAAGCTCCTAAGCTTCCTTAACTTTCCCATTTCGCACGGGTATTTCTGAAGCTCTTCAAAAATCGGTTTTGGGTCGTTAGCGAGGGGGGCGGGATGAATTTTTTCTATTTCCGTATAGGTCGACTAAGGAAATGGAAAACGTAAACCATTTTAATAGCATTTTAAACCTTTTTAAGATATAGAATTAATTTTCTAAATTTTTGATTTTTCGTGAAAATGTCTACAAAATCCTCAAAAACACTTTCGATTTTTAAAAATGTTTCTATGGCTTTCTGATAAACGGACACTTCTAAAGGTACTAAAGTTAAATGAAAGAGGAAATTTGGTCCCCCCGCTAACGCACCAGAACCCAAAAGCCAGCCACGCCACTTTGAAAAATTCCCCCAATAAAATACTTTAGAAGCTTCCTGCCGTGCGAATGAATGTGGCGCGTTTCGTGCCGGCTCCTCTGGCATCATGGGAACGTCATCTGAACCGCGGTGTCTGGTTCGTGCATTCGCTCCTCGCCTTCATCATCGCCTATTACACGACGAATGGTGAAGTGCGACCCTGGATCGGCCATTGGTTACACGATTCGAGGTATCTAAAATAGTAATCAAGTCGTACCTTATTCCAGCTATCTGCCAGACCAAAAGATCGACTTCGCCGACTCGGAGTGGTGGTTCTACAAAAAGAACATCCAGCGGATACTCGTCGCGTTGGGATGCCATTCGCTGGTGTTCACGCTATTCTTGCAAAGCAATACTAACGCGCTGCGGTTGCTGGCTTTCTTGGCGCAGCTGGGGCTTCATGTCTATTTGACGAGGTTTGTCTGAGAACCAGTAGCTAAAGCTGAATTTAGTATCCCATGTATCGTGACCTGTGCTGCACTCACTATCGTCACCATAGCCCTGGTGATAATATTCCGTCAAGAAGCTATCGCCTGGGTCGTTTGCATAGCCTTTGTTCTCAAGGTATACGAAAGATCCCCCTAAATACGCTACCATAAAATTTACAGTGCTCTGCAATCGCCCCGTTCTCAAACAATTCATTCGTCTACTATCTAGAATTTAATATGTACGCCTATACTTGCCTAAAGGTATCTAAAAACCAGTTAGCTCTAGGTCATCTTCTAGATTATAAATGTTGCAATCCACCTATGCAGACGAAAAGCCGACTCACAGACGAATCACTCGATTGCCGATATCATTTCCTACCTCCTCTACTTGCCATTTTCTATCACCCTAATCGTGCTCTACGAGGATTTTAAGAAACAACTCGACAACCGTAAGGCGGCCAATCGCTGGTTTTACCTAACACAGTAAGCCCTTTTCAGTCAGACAAAAAAAACCCCTAGGTCCAACCTTTTCTTCGCGATTCGACTGGCGTTCTGGTTCTTGGTCTTGGATCTCCTGATGCATTTCATCTACGTCAACGCCATCTACTCATCCCCGGATACCTTACTCATAGGAATGAATTCGTATCAATGTAAGCCATTTCCATCCTATAACGCCAAGTTACAATTTAGTAATGTCGATCTCGTACGTCGTCGGCCAATATTTTCACATCAAATATGTTGTAATTTTTGGGATCCCAGCGCTTTTTGCCAAAATTGACGGTAGGGAAATTTATATGCTACAAAAAGCTAAATTAATTATATTAGGGATGCAACCGCCCCCGGGGCCCATTTGCGTCTCGCGTGTCTCTCGCTACTCTAGAATGTGGCGACACTTTGATGCAGGCTTATACCAATTTTTGAAAAATCAAGTAAGACATCTCGAACGAGAAGCACGAGATTTTCCAAGGTTTATATACCCCTGATGAGCTCTGTGGCGGGCTGGAAGGCGGTCGTGCTACGACTTGTTGCTATGGTGAATGTTTTTATGATCGTCCTAGTATGGCATGGTAGGTGCAAAAGGATGGATGAATCTCGAAAACCAGTTATATATTTTAACGAGAAGCTTTCAGGATTCGATTCCCAATATATCTTCTGGGTTTCTTTATCAGCTTTCGAACTAATGGTCGAATGGACGGGTGGAGCCATCTGGGAGACAGAGCGATTCCAGCAATTAAGAACCAGTATTGGAGAACGTTGGACGAGAAGATTGGTTTCACTTGGGATGCTGGGCACTGTGATTCCAGGTATTAAAAAACTAATCACCCTAAAAGGTAAAAGTTTACTTTACCCCCCCTCCCCACCGCCGAAGGGTCTCAAAGTTGTCGGTATTTTCGCTTATTTTGTCGGGATTTTTGCAACGCCATTCGATAGAGCGTCGAAAAATATACTAAGAGTTTTAATTCGAGCCTACAATAATGTAAAATAAAAAAGTTATAGCCAAAAACTTCCGGCTGGGGGGTAAAGTAAACCGTAGCCCTAAAATAATTTCCAGGCATATTTGGAGTCTTCTGTTTCCTGGGAAAAACTGGGATCGGAATCACTGTTATTCGAAGAGTTCTCCTGGATGGATTTGTAGAATTCTTTAGCGGCGGTATCCACCTCATTAACTGGTATAACTATTGACCGAGGAGTTTATACCTTTCAGGCTACCATCCCCGGGCATCATCTTCATTCACATGCTCACCCTAGGATACTTCTTCAATGGCTACACCCTAGAATATGACCTTGCAGCAAAACAACTAAAGCGCGACTGACATTTGATCGATGTATATTTATTTTCTAAGCGATAAAAGATTGCTCACGTATTAATGACGAAACAGATCAAGACAACACCGGTATTTCCGCAACGGGTGGATGAAAAGTTATGAAAAAAAAATAAATATGCATAAGGACAGTGCATAGAAACCCATAATTTAAAGCCCACCGCGCAGGGCAAGGACCAAATGAAGAACCGAACCTCCAACAATCTTATAATCGGTGGCCAACTTGTCGTCGTTCATTTGCTTGCCGGCGAAGATCAACCGCTGCTGGGGTGGGGGAATGCCTTCCTTCTCTTCCACCTTCTCCTTGATCCTCTCCACTTTGTCGTTCGGCTCAATGTCCAGTTCGATTTCCTTTCCAGTCAGCGTTTTCACTTTGATCAGCATGACTGTCCTAAAAACACTCAAGTTAAAGTGTGATAAAGGTCACAAACCAATTAAGCGGTCCCTGCCCGTAACTTCTGTACAAATTGATGCAAGGGGTATTCTATAAATGGGATATATGGTTTCGAAGAAATGCAGTGCGGAGAACACCGAAGGGCGATATACTGATGGAATAAAACTGGATCCACCTAGGGAGACCCCTTACTGAAGCGCAGATGGCTCTCGGTAATTCGCAAAACCCCCCTGGGGTAGGTCAAACTGCGACGCAGATTAGCGAATCAGGGTTTGAAATTGCTCTAGGTCAATACATAATCAACCAGGTGAGAATAAGCATTTCGTTTGCGAATCCAAATAGAACCCCATGGGAGAACACGCAAAGCTGTAGTTCGTGGCCCTTGCAAGTGACGGTTTCCGTGGTTTCGAAAACGACTAGCGTTGGGCTAATAGCAAGTGCTTGACCAATACCACTTCCCTCCGACCCGAAAACGATGTTGAGCTGTGATGCAGTGTGTAAATAATTGGCGGGCAATGACCGTTCACAGATGATGATGTTTCTCAACAAAATCAGCATGTATAACAATTTATATGGATAAGAAAACAAAGCCCCGGCAGGGGAAAAACAAAATTTATCCTCCCTTCTTCTTCGACACTCCGACAGTGCGTCCCTTGCGGCCGGTGGTTTTCGTGTGTTGACCACGGACACGGAGGCCCCAGTAGTGTCGGAGACCACGATGAAGCCTGATCTTCTTCATGCGCTCAAGATCCTCACGGAGCTTGTTGTCGACGGCCGTGGATAGAAGCTGAAAAAGAAAATTAAAAACAATCCTCGAACCGCAGACGCTATCAGATATGCTAAAGAAGGCTAAACAAACCTGCGAGTATTTGCCGTCCTTCCAGTCCTTTTGTCTGTTGAGGAACCAATCGGGGATCTTGTACTGGGACGGGTTCTGCATGATCGTCTGCAGCTTCTCGAAATCATCTTCGGTCAGCTCTCCGGCGCGCTTGTGGATGTCAACATCGGCCTTGCGGCAAATCAGGAATGCGAATCGTCGGCCGATACCCTAAACAGGGTTAGAGCAAGAGATCAAAGCAAATTTACCTTAATCGAGGTCAGAGCGTAGGGGATCTTGCGGTTACCATCGATGTTGGTGTTCAGAACACGATGGATGTGCTGGAACTTCTCGGGGATGATGAGCGACATCTTGCCGCCGGAATTACCGCTGAAAAAGGCGATAGTGAAACGGGCAATACGATTGAAAGCAGAAAACGGAAAAAGCTCGAGGATGAGAATGCAGCGCTGAAAAGTGGCATAAGTGGCCGAGAATTGCGGGAGGACCCTTATTCATCGAAAAACTGTCAATGTAAAAGGAACATATCCTTAGAAAGAACGCAAAAGGTGCTGGTCATTGGCAAGACGCCGATCCGGTAAAGTTTCGCCTCGACATGCTGGTAGTCAACAGGGTATCGGGAAAGAACACTATATATTCTACAACACAGAATTACTGAAAGACGATGACGCGCAAAACTATTGTTTTACAAATTTTCGTCTGGACACTGCGTTAGGCTAAAAACTATCCGAAAAGCAGTGAAATAGCGCTAGAAGATCTGCGTAATCCATGCCAATAACGCACAAGAAGATTTCTTTTGCAAAAATAGGCGAGCGTCGAATTTGGGCCCGATCGTGAGCGGCCGGCGGGTGCAGGGGCTTCGCTGCGGGACCCGAGGGCTTGCAGTTCAAATGGGTCGACCGTAACCGACTCTGGCGTTTGTCCGGTCGTCTCTCTTCGCATCGCTCTCCCCCGCCCGGACCGATTCGAGGAGGCCAGTTGCCCCCATCTGCGCACCTCATCAGCCGCCATGGGAAGTAAGTTGCTTTGAAATGTAAACTATTATTGAACTTTTACAAACTAAAACCGGTTTGAAAATGGTGAGTGCATCCTGCGCTGGTTTTGTTTGAGAATTGTTACAATATCCAGTGGCGCTTGTTTTTTTTTTGTCTAACAAACCTAAATTCTCGGCCTGCATTTGTAGCGCAAATTGAGAAATTTTGACATGATACGCGCTGCCAGCGCTTATGTGGCTTTTGGTTGGAACAAGCCAAATTCGCGGACCCGCCTTTGCTTGCGGGAAATTTAGAAAACATCAACAACCGCGCTAGGGCCGAGAAATGACTAAAAAGAGTAGAATCCTCCGCTACAAAACTAACATCCCTTTTTCAGTTAAATTTCTCGACTTCGTCAAGCCTTTTTGCGGCTTCGTGCCCGAGGTCTCCAAACCGGAGCGCAAGATCGCCTTCAAGGAGAAGATGCTCTGGACGGCCATCACCCTCTTCATCTTCCTCGTCTGCTGCCAAATCCCGCTTTTCGGTAAAAATATTCATTACTTTGTTTATTGAATTTTTAGGCATCATGTCAACTGACTCGGCTGATCCCTTCTACTGGCTGCGAGTAATCCTCGCGTCGAACCGTGGAACGCTTATGGAGCTCGGAATTTCGCCCATCGTTACCTCTGGACTGATTATGCAACTTTTGGCCGGTGCGAAGATCATCGAGGTCGGAGACACCCCCAAGGACCGTGCGCTCTTCAACGGAGCCCAGAAGCGTATGTTTTTCACTGGTTTTCTGGAATGGTTGCTTTAGTTTTCGGAATGGTCATCACTGTCGGTCAAGCGATCGTCTACGTGATGAGCGGTCTCTATGGCGAGCCCTCGGAGATCGGAGCCGGAATCTGCCTCCTCATTGTCGTCCAACTCGTTGTTGCCGGTCTGATCGTTCTTTTGCTCGATGAGCTGCTCCAGGTTTGTTAGCATTTGATTCACCCGAATGTCTTTTTAGAAAGGATATGGTCTGGGCTCTGGAATTTCTCTCTTCATTGCCACCAACATCTGCGAGACGATCGTCTGGAAGGCATTCTCGCCTGCGACGATGAATACCGGACGTGGAACCGAGTTCGAAGGAGCCATCATTGCTCTCTTCCATCTTCTGGCCACCAGGAACGATAAGGTATTTAATTAACACGTTTCTAAGTAATTTTTCTTCTAGGTCCGCGCTCTTCGCGAGGCTTTCTACCGCCAAAACCTGCCGAATCTGATGAACTTGATGTCGACGATCCTGGTGTTCGCCGTGGTCATCTACTTCCAGGGCTTCCGCGTCGATCTTCCCATCACCTCTTCCCGCTACCGTGGACAGACCTCCAACTACCCGATCAAGCTCTTCTACACCTCCAACATTCCGATCATCCTTCAGTCTGCCTTGGTGTCCAACCTCTACGTCATTTCTCAGGTTTGATATTTATTTTTGGTTTTAAATTTCTTTAGATGCTCTCTGCCAAGTTTGGCGGAAATATCCTCGTCAACTTGCTCGGCACCTGGTCTGACGCCTCCGGAACCTACCGCAGCTTCCCCACCGGTGGAATCTGCTACTACCTTTCGCCCCCAGAGAGGTAACCCGCTGAAGTAATCTTTGTAATCATTGTTTTAGCATCTCTGCCGTGCTCGAGGATCCGTTCCACTGTGTGATCTACATCGTCTTCATGCTCGGATCTTGCGCCTTCTTCTCGAAGACCTGGATTGATGTGTCTGGCAGCTCTGCCAAGGATGTCGCCAAGCAGCTCAAGGAGCAGCAGATGATCATGAAGGGACATCGTGACAAGTCGATGATCCACCAGCTCAACCGGTACGATCGCCTCAAATTTCATATGTATTTTTCTTTTAGTTACATCCCCACTGCCGCTGCCTTCGGAGGTCTCTGCATTGGAGCCCTCTCCGTAACTGCCGATTTCCTCGGTAAGTCTCAACGTCTCAGCTCAACCTTTCTTTTCAGGAGCTATCGGTTCCGGAACTGGTATCCTGTTGGCAGTGACGATCATCTACCAATACTTCGAAATCTTCGTCAAGGAACAACAGGAGATGGGAGGCATCGGAGGAATGTTCTTCTAAGCATCTATCGATTGTTTCCGCCCCCATCTCTGCTTTTCTCCGGGTCTCTTTTGTATAGCTAGCGTTTGTGAAGCAGCACTGGTCGTGTCCCCCCTCACCTCCCATTTGTTATTTCCACCTGTATATTCGCGAGCTGATAATATTGGAAATGGGCGGCGTGCGTGAATTGCCATGTGGTTTTGGATGTTTTGGGGGGTTATTTATCGTTGTCTGTTTGTATGTTCTTTTTGAATCATAAATTTTTTATTGATATTACTGAAGCACATCTGAAGTTGGAAAGAAAATTTTACTGCTGCGCATTCCGGCTTTCTCTAGGTCCTGTTTTACTTTGTATAATTTTCGGCTGTACGACAGCAATCGGCAACTTGCGCTGCGAACTATTCGTCACAGTCACGGTGCGTACCGTGGTTTCTGGCTTGATCAGGTTGGGCCGGATTCTAAAAAGACCTCTAGCCTTTATCAGACACTTACAATAACGTGAGCAAGGTCGATGTGGGTTTGAAGCCGTTCCATATCATCCAGCATAACGTGTTCTGCAGGTGAAATGGTTAATTTATGTCTTGTAGCCAGTAATTTTTCCGACGCTATGATGTCTACCTTAAAATATTTAGTTTGCGCACTGTCGAGTGGATTGTAGAACAGTTCCCAAACGACCCAGCACAATACGGCGAGCAACCACGAAACGAGCATCTGGAAATCTCATTTTCTTGGGCATCTAACAGAGCTCATTGCGAGATGTGGTGTCGAGGCTTACTTGTAAAATTATATAGATTTCCATGGCTTTCAGTGGGAATTTGTGCTGGCTCTAAAAATGGGGAATATCGAAAAGTTTCCATAGCTAATCGAGTTAAAAAGCATAAAACGACAATTGTCGACCCACTTTTCGATATATTATAACCGCACCAACCGCCACATAAAATGGTAAATTAAAGTAGACGAGGGCATAATTTGAAGCTTCATTCAAAAAGGCGATGATCCCATATCCAATAGACGCATTCCGATTGGCCGCCCAGCTCATCTGGGTCACGTTGAACGCGACGGTGTAGAGGGTTAGGCTGCAGCCCATGTGGATTAAGAATAGGGCAGCGCTGAACAGGACGAAGATCTGAATAGTATTATACATTACAAATAATAACATTTACGTGGTAATAATGTAATGAAAAACCGTATATAGTAATTTTTGGGGAATTGGCGAACTGCAACGCCTCTAAATCACGCGCTGCGGCTCCACACGCTCACACCTACCTGTCCAACAATAGGCGTCAATATCCGGTCAGCCTTAAACGGCAGAAAAATGTACACAAATCGGTGGACGACGAAATACGTTCTGTTAAACCATCCACCATAAACTAGCCCGCCGAAGAACTAAACAAGGGCAACTTTTAGGGTTTATTTTGAGCCTCACCCGCGAGCAGGAAAAGCCCTCCGATGGGAAGAAGCTCTGGAATCCGCCCCAGAAATGGCCCAACAGTTGGAAGATGTCGCAGATGGCGTTGAGGAGGTGGAGGGTCGGGACAATGTCTGGACCCCAGCCTAGCTTCTTGCCTAGGGCGAACTGGAAAAATATCTCTAACTACATCTCTAGCTCTCTCTCGCTCTCTCGCTCTCTCTCTCTCTCTCTCTCTCTTTCTTTATCTTTCTCTTTCTCTCGCTCTCTTTTTCTCTCTCACTCTCTCCCACTCTCCCCTCACCTTACAATACCAAAATTGAAGCCCGAGGAAAATTGTCGAAATTATGATGGTGTTACTAGCAAATAATATCCGCTCGTAGTCATCAAGTGTCATCAAAATTTCTTGGGATTCTTTCTTCTGAAGATCTCAAAAAAACTGCACCAAGACACGTGCTTCTATTTTAATTGCAGACCCGGGCGAGGGCGTTCATGAAGTGCAGCTGACCGGAAGAAGCGATTTTTGCAGAAATTGCGGAAATCGGCTTGGGCTAAGCTAAGCCTATGTAGGTAGCACGGGGTTTTTTTCCGCGCACGGGGGTGCGGGGGCCTGGCCAAGGCGGCGTCAGGCGGAGGGTCAGGGTTCGATGCCTCTCCTCGCGTAAAATCATCACATGGTTTTGCTTTTTTTTTGAAAAATACTCAGAAAAGCGCCGACAACAAATCTGTGGCGAATCTCAGGCAGAAAATTAGGAAAATGAAGCCCTAACGAGAAAATCGTCTTGATAATCGCTTCAAAGCGTTTCAAATCCTTGTTTTTCCTCGCGATCGCTGAGATTCTTTTACCAAAATGTTCCCGAGGGTCTTCTCCTACAAATTACCAGGCGGAGAATTTGTCATTTTTTCTAGAAAAAAAAGTTATAGCCATTAGAACAGCCATTTTCGTGCGCGCCCCAAGTAAGGTTAAAAACCCCGTGGTAGGGAGCCCTCTGAGTCTTAGCCTAAGCCTTAGCCAAGCCTAAGCTATTCACGCTGCGCGATAGCAATGGCCTTGCCGGACATTCAATCGTATCTCCGTGGATTTGAGTGATGGTCGCTATTCAATTGCTCGTGATTGTTATCGTGATGCTGCTGGTCATCCGAAGGTTCCGAAATGTATAAACTAATATTTCCAGTATTAAAGTATCAAAAAAACACGGAAATGGAATGGATTGAAGTGGTCCTGAGAAGAAGAGAGAGAAACAGAGAAAGAGAGAGAGAGAGAGAGAGAGAGCAAGCGAGAGAAGGAGAGACAGAGAGAGAAAGAGAGAAACAGAGAGAGGGCGAGAGAAGGAGAGATAGAGAGAGAGCGAGAGAGAGAGAGAGAGAGAAGATATATACATACTTAAATGCCAGAGACAAAATCTTCACATTATCACAACGTGAACATCGCTGGTTTGAGTCTTCTGAATGGCGTGGCGCATTCGGGACATACTCACCCAAAAGATGAGAGCTGAAAAAGGTCGCGTCTTTTAGATTATTTTTAATTATCTTTATCTAAAAATAATTTGAAGAAGGACGGGGGTAAAAGACCGGAAACACAGACCCCAAGCGATGATAAACAACAAGAGGATGCCGGCAATGTTGAGCAGTTGCTTCTGCTGAAAAGTAGATTTGCTATCAGAATCTCGAAAATCAGAATCACTTTGAAATGTGAAAATGCTGAAAAATACGAAAACTTTCGGATCTAAGGATTTTGAGTGTTTACAAAAATTTAAAACGCAACGAATTATTTTACCACCCACGTGATCGTTCTCCTCATATGTTTTCAAAACGGCATAGAAAATCGTTATGATGGCGCAGGCTAGGGGAAACCATCTCCATTTCTCTTCCCTGATGGGCGGGTCCTAAAAAAGTGAATTCGCTTGAACAGAGGATTTTCTCGGAATACCATGAAATCGAGTTCGTTTTTCTCGAGACATGGGCAGGGCTCGGGCTTCATCCGGATCACGGTATGCGTTTCTTCGAGAGCTAGAGTTCAAATATATGAGCATCAAACATGAGAAATCCTCAAAAGTTTTGTGGAAAGAAAGCCATTACCTTTCAAGTCCTTCTCCTCCCAGAAGTCGGTCTCAAACGCGATAATGAGCTCCAGACCCGCTTTTCTGAAGGCGGACCATCGGAGAGGAAGAGTGAGTGCGGCAGGGAAATAAAGAAAAAGAGAGAGAGAGAGCGAGAGAGAGAGAGAGAGAGAGAGAGAGAGAGAGAGAGAGAGAAATTGGCAGAAAATCACCCACCGCGCTTTCTGGAACATTTCGACATGACGAGGAACACGATGAGCATCGTCCGTCCTTTCTGAAGAAGCTCAAAATCGGCTCAAGTTGCATTCCGGTATGAACCGATGCGTTCTCTCAACTTTCCCCGAGAATCGTTGTCACCTCTAAAGGCTTGCGGACCCACGTCCCCGCTTAGCCCACATGAAATTTCGAATTGCTATCAGAATCTCGAAAATCAGAATCTCGAATTTTCAAAATCTCGAATTTTCAGAATCTCGAATTTTCAAAATCTCGAACTTTCAGAATCTCGAATTTTCAGAATACCGAAATACGCATATGCTGGATTTAGTGCGTAGGCGTGCAATTTCCGGAACCGGCTACGGTTTACTTTACCCCCGCCCCAGCCGGAAGTTTTGGCTATAACTTTTTTATTTTACATTATTTTAGGCTCAAATTAAAACTCGTAGTATATTTTTCGACGCTCTATCGAATGGCGTTGCAAAAATCCCGACAAAATAAGCGAAAATACCGACAACTTCTGCGTGCGCGTGTGCTTCTGCGGCTGTGGGGGGGTAAAGTAAACTCTTACCCCGGATAGAGTGAGGGAGCGGCAGGCCTCCTCAGGCTTTCTTGGGCCGAATTGCATTTCCGCGCCTGCCGACGCCTGGCGGAAGCCTAAGGATTTAGGCAGGCTTTTTATGCAATGCGTAAAAACATGTTAATCTGGTTACTGCATCTAAAATGTTGATATCTTTGACGCAATAACAAATTACAAGGATACCGAAGGTGGGAAAAATATAGGCAAGATGTCAGGAGAGGCAATTGTATCCCCCGGCCGTTCGAACCGACTCTTGGCTTTTGTGTATCCGCGTGCTATTAACGTATCGTGCCGTAAGGTTTGTCAAAAACAGTAACCTAACTCTGTAGAATATTCTTGGACCCAATACAGCTCTTCGACCCCCCGGAAGTTTAAAAAAATTCCTTATTTGTACGGCAAAACTTCGAATATTTTACGACTTTACATAAAATTTCCGGATAAAGCCTGACTAATTAGAGGTCAGGCGTACTTTGCATAGCCCAGGCTCAGCCTAGGCGATGCGAATTAGAAAAGCCTGAGGAAGCCTAGGCAAGCCTAGGCTTTAGCCTAGGCCTCCCTCACTCTAACCCCGGAACCTTTAATGCTGATTTAAACCATGGAAATTTCGAGATTCTAAAAATTCGAATTTTGAAAATTCGAGATTCTGATTTTCGAGATTATGATTTTCGAGATTTTGACAGATTTGGAAAATTTCAACCCTGGGCTTAAAAAGAAACGCGAGGAGTGGTGGTGAGAGGCTTGAGTAAACCGGACAAAACCGTTGCCCAGCAAAACATAAAACACCATAAAGCTTACCCGGCATTTCTACGAATTCTGGAAAGCAGCAGCAGCAGCAGCGCTGCGTCGGAATGTCAGTGGATCAAATGGCGTTGCGGTTGGGCGACGAGGTCAGTTTTTACTGCCCGAGGCTACATTCGCCACCCGGCCCCCCTGCCCAAACCCTGCAATCCGTGCGGGAAAACATCCAAATCTTCTAACATCTAATAAGCTTTGTCACTACTTGGTTCATTATTCGCTAAAGAGGACCTGTACGTTGAAGGCCTTTGTACGCCCAGGGCGCCGGGAAGCTCGCAAGTTTGCAATTCCCTGTCGTCACCCCCCCAAATCACGTTCTCGGCTGTTTCTGGGCCAAATTCGGTGATTAAAACACCAAGGCTATTCAAAATTGCGCGAGGATTTTAGAAATTCCCTCACAATTTGCGAACTATAGTGTTTTCATCAAGAAATTTGGCGAAAACAACAGTTTCGCGCAAAAATCGAAAGAAGGAGGGCTCTGGTCCCGCAGCGGCCGCTGGCAATTTGCCAGACATCAAATAGCCTTCCCAAAAGAGCTTTGATTTGGCAGTTCGGTGTCCCCTGAAAACAAAGACCCGTAAGTTTAGCGTATCTTTTTCCAGAAGTCCAGTCACCAGCATGACGGCCGAAATTGTCCGAATTGCCGAAGTGTATCGAAGGCAAAGGTAAGCCTCTATTAAATAAGTACCACAATCGATTCTCGAACGGATGCCCGACAGTGCTTGATGACTTACAACGGGCTTGGCGACGACTTGAAAGAAGAATTGATCGGTAAGAAGAAAAGAAGTCGCAAAACCAGAAAAATTAGCGTTAGGACTCCAGAACGATGTCGTGAAATTGGAGTCGCACTTCAGCTGGCGTGAATACGTGGGTGCCAAACAGATGCCGAATTAAAAAGCGTAAAACCAGCGTCGTCCGGTTAGCTTGAGCAATCAATTTACATACGGATTGTCCCAAAAGTCTGCAGTTTTCAGGGATTATGGTTGTGAAATTTGTGAATTAAAATGTCTATGTTGAAAACTGAAAAATGCCTGTTTTGCTCGCCTTTCCGAGAGCTTGCTTTAGATAGCTAAATCGTTAAAATCGGACTTCATTCTTGCCTTTTTAGCAGCTACCAAAGTTCCTCGCTTACTATAATCCACCTCACATGTTTTAGGCTACGCCGTTACAGGAGCCGGCGCTGATTTTGCTGCCAATTTTTCCGCTCCTGTGTTGCTTTATGATTTTTATTGTCATTGCGAGTCCGCTGAGACCGCTGGTATGTTTCGTCGTGGATGTAGGGTTCTTCCTTACAACAAAATTCATAAAAATTTTCGAATGGTGAAATTGTTGGCTTTGGTGAAAGATCTATATCCACAAGCCAAAATTTTCGGATTTTCGAAACTTATTTAAGATAAGTTTTATGAGCTGCTAGCGATCATAAACTACTGAATTCTTTGCACTCTAACGGTCTTCTAACGGCTATCTAACGGAAGTCTAACCTATCTTTAGGCCGACGGAATCGCAATGATGGCCTGGGCTCTAGTCCTGATACTAATGTTATGGGGTGAGTAGCATTATCACAGAAAGCCATCAGAAACAAACCAGGCCCATAAAGGGATGAAAGCTTTGAGTGGAATCGGCCCAGTATTGGTGGCACGTCTCGAAGTCGTTCGGCAATGACCGTCAAATTTACTATTCGGCTGTTTCTGTGTACCCCCCCAGCCGACCACACCGACTGTATCTCGACACGCCGTTATCGTAGGGGCTTGTAAAATATACCAAAATACTCGCCAGAGCAAGACAAACATTTTGGTGTACTTTACTTACCTGTCCGTTAACAGATGACCGAGATATGAAAAGTTCGGGGCGGCTGGGGGGGGGGGCAACCTGAACTCTTACCTACTATTCTAGCAGAGTCAAAAGCTCATATGTAGGGCTATTATCCTTCCTATAACTAGGGTTTCGCATACAACCAATCGCATCAGAAATTGGCCAAAGTATACAGGGTGTCCGAATAAAGAAGGTCGCGCTGGCATTTAGCCATTTCGAGATCTAACGATTTGAATTTTTGAACAGAGCTGCGCAAAAGTATTTCACACGTTCACAGAAAATTTTAGCCCTCTATTGTAAAAATACTATTTTTGAAAATTTGGCTTTATTTGTTTGGTTCTCTCTTTGGACTTTGCGTCAACTAACATCCACTTCCGGCTCTAAACCCTTATTCATCTTAATGGGATCAGGACGGCCCGATGAATTTCTTAAATTTGCGTAAATGCTCGAAATAATTGTCGGCTCCCTCTCAATTAGGCGTGTTCTCTTACTCCTTTCTGACCGGTTGGCTAGCTGCCAATTGTCGATGACCCCTGATCGACACGGGCCGTCCTAATCCCTTTAACATCGGAAGCGATTAAATTTTATTAAACTAACTACATAGACTATTTCTAAGTCGAATTTCGCAAAGTCAAATCTTTCCTAGGATAAAAAAAGAGTCCGCGCTCCGTTTTCACCATATATTCCGAGGCCCGATTCCGGTGAATCTAGCCTACACAGGGATTTTTTTCAGGTTACATCTCCCTTGCCCATTTTTGCCATCGCTACAAGCTTCGCCATCCCGACGTCTTGGTCGTGCTCATCTAGGATTGCAGCTCGTTTCTGGCAGCAACCTCAATACACATTCAATTCACAGTTGCAAATTTAATTTCCGATAAACTTGTTCTCTGTGGGTTGAACGGCCGGGTGCGCGGCAACCGAACGAGGCGCTGCACAGATTTTTTGATCCTGTTTTTGCCGTCATCTGAAAGCGGATGGTCGCGAGGGTCCGCAAGTTTTCCATATTTTCGCTATTTTGTCGGAATTTTTTCGACGCCATTCGCTAGAGCATCGAAAAAATATACTAGGTGCTTTTATGGCGGCTCAAAATATTGTAATATAAAATAGTTATAGCAAAAACAAAAATAACCTTTAAATTGGGGTTAAAAAGCTAGTTTTATATATTTTCGCCATTTTTTTGACATTTTCGAGAAGCCATTAATTGGAAGAAGTCGCAGATGGCGTCGATGAGATGGAGGGTCGGGACAATGTCCGGACCCAAGCCTAGCTTCTTGTCTGGCGCGAACTCGAAAAATATCTCTAACTAGCTCTCTCGCTCTCTCTCTCTCTTTCTCTCTCTCTGTCTCTCACACTCTCTCTCTTTCTCTCTCTCTCTCTCTCTCTCTCTCTCTCTCTCTCTCTCTCTCTCTCTCTCTCTCTCTCTCCTCACCTTACAAGACCAAAATTGAAGCCCGAGAAAAATTGTCGAAATTATGTTGGGTTTACGAGCAAATAGTATCCTCTTGTGGTCACCAAGTGGCCTCAAAATAGCTTAGAATTTCTTTCTTATGAAGGTATCAAAAAATTGCGGGACACGTGCTTCTATTTTAATTGCAGACCCGGGCGAGGGCGTTCAACAAGTGCAGCTGGCCGGAAGAAACGATTTTTGCAGAAAATGCGGAAATCGGCTTCAGCTAAGCCAAAGCTAGGCCGAAGCTAAGCTATTATCCCTCAAAATATCGGATTTTAAGTGCTTTATTAAAAGCATTAATGGGCCGTCACGTGAAACGGTAAAATCGAAGCTACGGTAGATCTTCTGCGATTATTTTCAGGGATCGGGACCACTTTGACGGACACGTTTGGCTGCACAAGCGACGGTTTTAGTCTGGAAAATTGAGGTTAAGCTAATTTAAATGAAAAACGAATAAAAGTTGCTAAAAATTTGAAAAATAGAAATTTTTGTAGTCGTTCCTGACGTACCCCAAAGTTATAAGCGTCGACAGCGGCTTGAACCCATTCCACAGCATCCACGCGACCGAATTCTAAAATGTGAAAAACGTAAAGAATAGGGAAATATACATGTTAACTAACATAAAATTAATTTTAACATAGCTAGAAACCGATACCTTCAAATATTTGGGTAAATCCTGCTCGTTCTGGTCGTAAAACACCTCCCAGAGGAACCAGCAGACCACGGAGAGTAGCCACGAAATTAGCATCTGAGAGGTTGAAGGGACTTGAAAGGCCTAGATATTTCAACCTGCATTATTAGGTAGAGATCCCGAGCCTTCATTTGGGATTTGTGGAGTCTCTGAAAGGGGGGTTTAGAGTTATTTTAGTTGTAAAGGAAGCTAACCGAAGCACAGCCTAAGCCAAGCCTAAGCTAAGCCTAAGCTAAGCCTAAGTTAAGCCTAAGTTAAGCCTAAGCTAAGCCTAAGCCAAGCTAAAGCCAAACCTGAGCCAAGCAAGCCTAAGCCAAGCCTACCCTAAGTCAAAGTCTTCCTCAATAATACTCGAAACTAAATCGCTAAACCCCGACCTTTCTATAGACGACCATCCCGCCGATCGCCAAATAAAACGGCAAATTGAAATAAACATATAGATAGTTTGAAAGCTCGTTGATGAAGAACAGAAATCGATAGCCGGGTTCCCAGGAATGACGCCAATCAATGGCCCATGATAGGGCAGTGGCTGAATAGCTGATGAAGAGGACGGTCGTCGACATGCACATGTAGAGGAACAAGAAGATCAGGGTGGCTGCCGTGAACAGCTGAAAAACGGGTCAAAATCGTTTTTTGAACGCGGGCGGATGTGTCGCGGCGGACGAGCAGTTGGTGTAGTGGTTTGCATCCGCGCCTATCAGTCCAGACCTCAGGGGTTCGATTCCCACCAGCAACAAACTTTTTGCTTTTTGCTCAAAAATCTGAGTTAATGTTATTTTAAAGGTGGTGGGACTGGAGTGCCAATTTATTGACTGACCTGCGTCACCAGCCGTGTAATAATAAAATCAACGCGAAACGGCATGAAAATGAATAAAAATCGATGGACCACGAAGAAATTCATGTAAAACGCCCCGTTTAGCCAAGTGCCGAATACGAGGCCGCCGAATACCTAGAATCAAGAAATTTCGACTTCAAATAATGATTAAAATGTCCTTAAGATACTTTAATTTGGAATTAAGCCGTCGGAAAAATTGGACAACAAGTATTTTAATTTGAGTTTGAGCCTTAAACATACCGGCGATCCGGGCAGGTATTGTGCCGGGAAAAGACATTGCACTCCAGCCCAGAAATGACAGCACAACTGGCTGATATCACAGACGGCATTCAGTAGATGGAGCGTCGGGATAAAGTCCGAACCCCGGCCCGGCTTCTTTGACCAAACAAACTGAAATTTTTTAATATATTTCTCTAACGGTATCTGCTAGCTTGCCTGTAAACGCCGAAAATGGGGGCTGGATTCTTGTGCGTTATCGGGGGGGAAGGGGCTCCCAGGGGAAACCCAACTTTTTTTGAGTACTTTTCCAATATTACTAGAGGAAGTTTTCCTGGACTCTTAGATATCTAGACTTCACATATTTCTATTATAAAATATAAAAATCTGGATTTTTCGACCAAATAGACCGCTTTTCTAAAACAAATAAACTACTAAAAGCTCTATGAAGTGACTTAATATTATATTACTAGGCATACCCTTCATAGCCCCCCCCCCCCGATAACGCAAAAGAACCATCCCCTGAAACTGCTTAAACGTCGTTTTTTTTTAAATTGGCGCATCAAGGTTTTACATCTCGAAAATTTTCAGTGCCTTAAAAGGTCAAAAAGTTATCAAAAATAACAATAACAATAATATGAGTTTTATTACTGGAAAAACGTGGCATTTTCTTGATATTCCCTCACCTTACAGTACCACGCTTGTAAGCATAAAAATATCGAGGAAATTACGATATTTGTGCAACCAAATGCTGCCAACTCGGATTCGGTCGGCATTCAAATAAATAAGTTTATATTCTGCCGCAGGTACGGTAGGGATACGGTAGAAAATACAGTAGGAAATCCACCAGAAAATATTGTTTGACCAGCAATGTTCAGCAAAATTCTCTGAAACTTAAAGCGGCAATTTTGGTAAAGCCACACCCCTGCCACCTGATTTATACGATGTAAAATTACTAGGAAAATCGTGAGAAAAATGGGGATTTATTTTGGAAACAAAATTCCGTTAATTCCCCCAATTCCGCGTGAGAATTCCTGACAAAAAAAATGAATGAAAAATGCAAAATATTGCGATTCCGGAATCCGGAATGAGAATGGGGGTTCCCACCGACTTTTTCCTCATTTCCCTTTATGGCCCAGTTTTTGGCCCTGACACCTGGCCACTCACTGGCCCTCATGACCTGTCGTAAATTTGAAGCAGATATTTTGCATCCCGGGGGAGAAGGTACCGGAAAAAATAAGAAAAGGTAGAAAGGGATTTATTGCAAACTGTCAGAGAGAGAGAGAACGAGAGAGAGAACGAGAGATAAAGAGAGTATGAGAGAGAGCGTGAGTGAGAATGAGTCAGAGAGAGCACGAGAGATCGAGAGAGAATGAGAGGGAGAATGAGAGAGAGAGCGTGAGAGAGAATGAGTCAGATCGAGAACGAGAGCGAGAGAGAGAACGGGAGAGAGGGAGAAAGAGAGAAAGAGAGAGAGAGCGTGAGAGAGAGCAAGCAAAAATCCCAGGAATCTCCGCTAGCATGCCCAAGATCTCACTCTCGCTCTCTCACTCTCGTTCTCCCCTCCAACCTTGAACCCCCGCGGCGATGATCCAGGTCTTTCGTTATTCTCCACCCTCCAACCCGGCAAAAAACTGAAATACTAGTTGCCATTTCCGCTCCATATTCTGTTGTTCCATCCCCCTCCCATCTGAGTGATCGACTGCGCGGAACCGGTTGGATAAATTCGAAGGGTGGTGCTGTCGTCTCGGTTCTGTTTCTACTTCTTCTTTTCTGTCCCCCAGCCGGGGCATTGCCGTTGCAAAAAAGTTTGTCGTTTGCCGAGAGGCCTTGCATGTAATCCTCGGGAATCGGGCGCGTTGGAGAAGACGGCCAAATTTTTGGGTCGGTATGCACTATTTATTTCGATTCGATGGCTGTTGAGTGGCATTTGTGCCGCTCTCCCTCCTCTCTCTCTCAGTCTCTCACTCTCTCTTTCTCTGTCTCTCTCTATCGCCCTCTCTCTCACTATCTCTATCTATTTCTCTCTCTCGCTCACTCTCTGTCTCTGACTCTCTTTCTCTATCGCCCTCCCACCAAGCCGACACCATCCCTTTAATCCACAATTATCACAACCAGCTCCACCCCCTACTCCCATTTCCGCCCCGCTCCTTTGTACAGCAGACAGTGCTTTTCCATGCGGTCAGCGACGCGCAAAATAACACTCAAAGCGCGGGGATGGATGGAAAATTGACCATGTACTTGTCTTGACAAAAAAGGAAAGGGAAATGATGCCATTTCTCCCCGGGAAGAAATCGGGAGGAGGATAGGTGCCGTACAAAGCGATTTATCGCTGGCATTTTCGTGTTTTCAAGGGTTCGTGTTTTGACGGGCTTCAAAAAATTACGACTCTTCCCAGGTTTTGAAATTTTCGTTATTTTGTATGAGTTTGTAGTGACCATTTATTCATACAAAATTTTTATCTGATTTTTCTCTCTCTCTCTCTCTCTCTCTCTCTCTCTCTATCTCTCTTTCCCCGCCTCTATTTTTTTCAGATTTTTATAGATTTTCATCGAAATTCCAGGCGATTTCGAACACCGATAGAGCATCTCGGCAAACTAGACCCGTGCCATCCCAGTACAGTCTAAGGTCCAGTACTCTCTGTTTGTAGATTTGTCTTTGCTCCTCTCTCTCTCTCTCTCTCATTCTCTCTCTCTCTCTCTCTCTCTCTCTCTCTCTCTCTCTCTTTCCCATCCTTTTCGCATCATTATTTGTGCCATTGGTCTTCAGGGTTGTTTACCCGTTTTCTCCAGCCCTTTTCACCCCACACCAAGTGCCATTCCGTTCCCCCGGTTTTCTTTCGAATTCACGGCGAGTTCGCGCTACCAAAATACAAAAAATTCTGATCGATCTTCTTTCTTAATTTTTTCGGATAGCTTGCCTCGGGAGTGTATCACTCTGTTTCTATCGCTCTATGCCTCGCTCTTGCTCTCTCTCTGTTTCTCTCACTCTCTCACTCTCTCACTCTCTCTTTCTTTCTCTCTCGCTCTCTCTCGCCTCAAGAATAAATTTCCAGGCATGCAATTTCACATCATATTAATCTGGGCAGTCCTCCTTCTCATCGGCCACGCGGCTGCAAATGGTAATTTTCTGTAGTTCACGATGGTCTTCACATTAAAAGTTTCATAAATCGTTAAAAATTAAATTTAGCATTTTTTAAAAACTGTAATTTTAGAAGGAACCACGGAAAATCTCGCCCTAATGCAAGGCAAACAGATCCAGACCCCACCAATCTACCGCCGGGCCACCACCCTCTCTACAAGTAATTTATTTACGATTTTCCCGTTTCATTTTTACTTTTAGGACTCCGCTTCTGATCTATGGACGCTGTACAAAAGAATACTTCGCTTTAACGGGTCGCGCTTTGCGAATAAATTTGCATACGTATTATTCTGGAATTTGCATAATGATCATAAACGTGTAAGAAGCGAAAAACTATAAAAATCAGAGGGCATCGAGCGAGAGAGAGATAAAGAACAAGAGAGAGAGAGAGAGAGAGAGAGAGAGAGAGAGAGAGAGAGAGAGAGAGAGAAAATAAGGAAGGTATGAAGCCTTGCCATCTCATCATCTCCAACTACCGTATCATCCATCACCCTCGGATTGGCTGGACGCACCGAGTTGGGCCTTGCAACTTCCGGCCCGGCCCCTTTCATGGGCCCTAGGGTCCTCCGGGAGCCCAGATTTGATCTTAGCTATCTCAACTGAAGCAGTATCGCCGAAACTGAGCGTACGATTTGGAGGCCGACTACCAGAAACGTATTTGGATGATGTTCAGCGTCCAGAAATTGCTAGTAAGTGGTTTAGGGTATTTCGATTTTACCTTAATTTGGTTAACTAACGTTTTCTCGGGCCCTCTTTCTCTCTCTCCCTCTCGCCCTCACTTGCTCTCTCTTTCTCTCGCTCCCTCTCGCTCTTTCTCTCTCTCTCTCTCTCTCTCGATCTCTCTCTCGATGTCTCTCTCTCATCTCTTGAAGCCCTTAACGGGAAGACGCAGTGTTCGCAGCGGACCTAGATTATTTTTTATGTCCGCCTTACCGTAACCCATCCTCCAGTCGCCGTCTTGGCACCATCCATTTTGTTGATGCGGTATGTGTCAGGGGCTGAATGGCATATGTCAGAGGTTGTCATCAGATGTCTTTTCTGTCACCCATCCCTTTAGGGGGTGGGGGGGGATCAAAGGGGGTAGGGACGGATGTCTCTGTAGTGATGGCAAGGAGCAGATTCGCCTTGAGGTGGGTCCCACCGGGAATTCCGTGTCAACGCCCCCGGCCGGCTGGAGATGAATTTGGGCTGGGGTTTCGCAAAATGAACCCGGGAATTTGGAAGTTTAGGTGGCAGAGAGAGGCAGAGAGAGAGAGAGAGAAGAGAGAGAGAGAGAGAGCGAGAGAGATGGATCACCGTTTCGAGATTAAAATTTTCAACTCCTACCGTATCCCGATCAAACACGGAGAGCCCACTGAAAATTCTGCCTTGTCGTGGGCTGATCCCCCGCCGGGGTCGGAATGCAATTTGGAGGGTAGCGTCGTACCCCGATGGGGACCGGAAGTGCGGGGTAGGTGTCGCCGCAATCAAGAGGCGGAAAATTTGGTGATGCGTGTCATCTGATACACGAGGAGGACCAACTATCGTCTTGGGCGGACGGTGATTTTGTGCGGGATTTCAAGAAGCAAGTCAGCGAGAGATGGGGAAAAACGGGAGAGAGACAGAGACAGACAGAGACAGACAGAGTCGGAGCTCAGAGGCAAAATTTGAGAGAGAGAGACAGAGAGAGGGAGGAGAGAGAGACGGAATCAGAAAAATCATGTCAGAACAAGAAAATTTAGCGTGCGGGCGTGTATCCTACTGTACGACAAATTTCAAGTCACTTGCTTCACAGTCCTTTAGCCTATTTCCAAGGCAATTTTTGTCATTTTGGGCACAGTCGCCCGTCAAGCAAAAAAGATGAACTTTTGGCCACCTCTTCCGTTAGTCTGTCGTTATGTCTGTCTGTCTATCTTCTTCTGTCTATCCCAGTTGAAAGGAGGGCATTGTCCCCATAGGGCCCGGGGGGCCATCTCCATGGTAGAGCCGGGGTCGCAACCCGGTGACAGCGGCCAACATAGGGCCTAAATACGAGGCGACCGAGCCTCTTAGGGCCCATCCTAAGGGTCCAAAAAGCAGCAAGCATTCTTTTTCAGGCCATTTTTGCGCGTGTATCGTACTGTTTGTGTTGCCAATGGCCCGACCCCCTGTCGGCTAGTGGTCATATCAGTGTGGTCGAAGTGTGTGTGTGTGTGTTTTCCGAGACTCGCAATTTTATCGCAATCTGCGCTGAAGGGGCGAGACTCAACCCCCTCGCCCACCTGAACCAAAAACTATACGAATTGAACTTGGGATTTGGGCTAGAAAGGTTTTTAAATTTTGTCAAAATTTTGAAAAAATGCCTCTCTCTGTCTCTCACTTCATTCTCTCGCTGTCTCTCTCTCTTCACTCTCTCGCTCTCCTCTTTTGATCTGTCGCTCCCTTTATATAACTCTCGCTTCGCGCTCTCTAGCTCTCCAGCTCTCTCTAATTCTCTCCATCTCTCTCTCTCTCTCTGCCTCTTCTCTCTCGCACTCTCTTGATCTCTCTCATTCTCTCTCGCTCTCTCCCTCTCCATCTCTCTCTCACTCTCTCCCACTTTCAAAAGATTTTTTCAACCTCAACACTGTTTCCTTTTTAATCAGCTTCTCCCCCTTCTTGAACCCCTGACCGGGTCAATTCCCCCTCCAAATCTCCTTTTTTCTGCAGGTCGAATTGTCGTTTTCTAGACACCCTCCCCTCTTCACTATCAGAATATTCTGCAGCCCTGTTTCGAAGCCTCTTTTTCTCTAGAAGAACACAGGCCAAAGCCGGGCGGCGACCCCTGTTATCTCTTGAAGCAAGTCGACCCGAACTCTCAGGGGGAATTAGCTCCTCCTGCGTCATCCAGCTTTTTACGTTTTGCTAAAGTTTTCTTATGCATAAAAAATATTTTTTAGCCAATTTTGTACACCATAATGGTAATTAAACATATTTTATTTCTTATTAAATCTTCCCTTGACCGCAGATCGTGAATTCCGTGAAAAATCAAAGCGCGTTCGTGCAAGTTTTCAGCCTTCCCGGTCACTTTAAAGCTGCTATACGAGAGAGAGAGAGAGAGAGAAAGAGAGAGAGAGAGAGATACTAGTTTTTATTCACTAGGGCGAACGGCCTCGGCTTATCGGCCAGAATGTTGCCCGGCCGGCCACCGCGTAACTACCTGATTTCCAGAAAACACAAAGAAAAAGCAGAATTGACTTGGAGGGTTACGTTACGATTGGTTACGGTAGATTTAGCATGAAACGCTCTTGCTCTCTCAATCTCCAGCTCTTTCTCTCACTCTATCACTCTCTCCCTTTCTCTCTCTCTCGTTATATCTCTCTCCACCTTGCCTTCTCTTGCACCTCTTTTCTCCAATTTTCTACCTCCAACACATTAATGGCATTGAGCCGGAGATCCTGTTGTAACCAAGCAAAAAGGCGGTCCCCCAGTGAACATCGCTCATTTGCATAGACATCACAACGCGAAGAAGCCAGGGGAGGGAGGGGAGAACGAGGTGCCAGAAAGCATGGTGCTCAGATCCCGGGTCCCGGGTTTAAACTTTACGGGAGGGACTTCTCTCTCTCTCGCTCTCTCCCCGTGCAAGGGTCACTCACTACGGGGTACCATGTGCTCCCCGCCGAGGTCGCCCTCCTCCTCCCCTCAAAAATACACCCCAGAGCTCATGCTCATGCTAGCCGAGCCGGGGGAGGTCCAGCTGAGAGCACCAGCCGGCCTGGTCACCCACAGGGCCCTCTGACTGGCCCCTAAGGCATACACTGCCCGGCCAGGGGCCCATGAACCCTTACTACGTTTCAGCAAAAGCATCCCCCCGTTGGCCGGCTGACGCTTCACCCCCTGCTAGCCGGTTGGCCCCTGGTTGCCCCCTTCCCGGCTGACCACTATACGGTTCCGTCCCGGAAAGACATAACGGTTATGAGTTAGTGATAATTGTGTCGTTTTGTAAATACAGAATCCGATTTTTAAAAGTCAATTTTCCCCTCTGAAGATTGTCGCTCTCTATCTCTCTCCCGCTCTCACTCTCTCCCGCTCTCTCGCTCTCTCTCTCTCTTTCTCTCTCTCTCTCTCTCTCTCTCTCTCTCTCTCTCTCTCTCTCTCTCTCTCTCTCTTTCTTGCTATCTCTCGCCCCTCTCTCTGTCATCTCTCTCTATCGCTCTCTCGCTCTCGCTCTCTCTCTATCTCTCGCTCTCTCGCTCTCTCGCTCTCTCTCGCTCTCTCTAGCTCTCTCGCTCTCTCTCTCTCTTGTTTTATCCCGTTCTTGCCCGTCACCAATAATTTATTCTGGCAAAAATCAACCGTAATCCCCGAGAGCTTCGCAGTCCGTCGGACGCCTTGCCGGTCCCTTTAAAAGCTCTCTATACGCGACTCAAACTACCGTATGCCGTCTCCCGGCTCCCTGATCTCGTAATTCCATTCCAGAGCTATCCTCTAGAAGGCCAACCCATCCCCTTTGGCCCACCCCCTCCCTCTACAATTTCTCCCAACAAGGGGCCATGGGTTGTGCATCGGAATGATCCCCCTCCCCTCTAGCATTCACATTCATAAAATGTGCCCCCTCTTGGCGGGGGTCTGTAATTGGCGGTGTCGGTCAATCCGGAGATGCTCACACGCAATGCCCCATCGACATGGACAAGGGACGCTTTTCTGGGAAGCGCTTCCGGGGTATAGGCATCGCGGACCGGGGTTTAAAGGGAGAGCGACAGGTAGCTAAGAGTGGAGCCGTTGAGCCAGAATTTCTAGATTTTCGCTTTATAGAGCTTTTAAATGGCTTGCGGATTGATTCAGGCCCTCTCTCGCACTCGCTCTCTCTCTGTCTCGCTCGCTCCTCTCCTCATTCTCTCTCTCTCTCTCTCTCTCTCTCTCTCACTCTCTCTCTCTCGCTATTTGGCCTTGACTTTCCTCCTCTATATCGCTCTATATGTCACTCACTCACTACCTCACTCTCACTACCGTACTCCTACCTTAGTACAAGCTCCTGGTCCTGAATTTTACTTTTTTTTTGTTCCGAACTTGCCGCCCCAACCCATATTTGGGTGTCCCCCGGGCGGTCCGCCGGGCCGAATCGTACAGTTGTGAGAGCGGGGGGTATGGGCGAGGGGGTCTGTCCCCTTCTGCGGCGAGCCGATCGCTTCTCTATTATTTTGTGAGGCTTTTCAAAGCCACGGGGGAGGCTTTTATCGCTGCTGCTTTGCCCTCGCCCATGGTCAGGATGGGCGCATGCAAACGCTCACCAAAAATAGCCCCTAGCCTTTTGCGGCGGTCAGCTACGGCTAGAAACTGATCCCTGGGCTAGCTGTCACGGTCGCTTTAAAAGTTGCAGGCAGGGTGCTAAAAAGCGTTGCTTCCGGTTATGGATAAAGCGAGAGAGAGAGAGAGAGAGAGCGAGAGAAAGCTAGAGAGCGACAGAAATTTGCGCCTTTTTTCCTGTAAATTACGATAAATCGATAGATACTAGTCTTACGTCGCGGGCGCGTTGCGTGTTGCAGGGATCCTTCAGTCAACGTAAGGTAGAGGGAAAACGAGGCACGCAACGCGCACGCGACGCGTTTTTAGGTGGTTTTAAGCTAAAATGTGAGAAAGAGCTCAGGAGCATAGGTGAAAGGGAGAGAGCGGGAGAGCGGGTATGAGTGGGAATGAGAGAGCAACAGAGAGAGGGAGACCGAGAGCTAGAGAGAGAGAGAGAGTAGGTGAGAGAGCGAACGATGAGAGAGAGACGCAGGCGAGAGCCAGATGGCTTTAAAGGGGCCGTGCCAGTTAGCTCTCTAGCTCTTGTATGATAAGTGGTTCTTCTGCTCCTCCGGCCATTAATGCATTAATGCTTGATATGTTCCCGCAATCACCCCTCCACCCGTCCAACATTTCAATGCTTCTGCCGATAGTCTCGTCTCTAGTCCATGGAAATGGAAATCGAAGGCCCGATGCCCGGTCGACCCCCCGTTTTGCCTCGACTGAATGTCCCCCCACGCACTATACAC